AATTATAATATGCCCTAGATGCATACGGCATGGGATGTAATCGAAATTTTCCGATAGATGAAGTGTTAGAGCCATCAAATTAAGAAGCAAAGCAAGTTTTAAGCACTAGAGAAGCTGCCAATATTAAAATTACCATTTATGAAGAAGGTAGAACAACAAAGCTGCGAAACATAATGTAAAACAAACGTTATGGACATGATTTTGTACAGCTTTAAGAGTTACTTGAAATCAATTTAGTTATTGCTGTGCAAAATTCGAAAGAAAATTGTTGCAGAAAGCGATAAATGTAGCGAATTCGTCTTAAATAACAAATTTAAACAATGATTATTCTATCTATTCACAGAGCCAAAGTATAGTACCAGTAGTTCATGTTTAAAGTTAATAACCTGTGTGTCTGTCATAAAGTCTACAAGGTATGAGAAAAGGTACGAATAATATATATACTTCTATAAGATAAATCACAAGTATGATAATAATTTACTATGGCTGAAAATTATGCTATTTGACTTAAATATATTTTAATATAGTCAGGTACAAAAATTGTGTATGTAATTAGTTAAATCAATGATAATCCTATCTTCTCTTTACACGAGTTATACGTGGCTTCTCTTCTACGGAGTGATCATAGCAATGACTTAATTGATTGAATGCTAATCTCGTAGTACACGATTTAATTAGTCGCAAGTGAATAAATCAAGGCGGTAGTAGTAATGTATAATAATATAGAATATATTCAAGTTTAAAATATGCTATTAATTTAGTTCTAGTGCCTAACTCTCAAGCTAATTCTTCCCTAATGTTTGGAAGTCAAGTAATCTGATATATCGATCAATTTACGTCATCTCAACTTTGCAAGAAATCTTCCATCACAAACTAAGTGGCAATTGCACTCACGTTCATAAATTAGAGTACCATAGTTATATTAGAATATTTCATCTAAGCTTAGAAGCTAATCTCTCAATTTCAACATCCTTCATGGCACCGATGATTAGTACAATCTCGTCCGTAACTCGCTGTTACTATTTTAATATAGCTAATATTACATATCTGATTCTGATAGCGACTAAAAATACTTTTAAATTAATGGATGCTGTTACGGAGCTTAATGCTCCTTGCGTATAACAAGTAGTAATTTACGATAGTATATTCCTGATGGCATATTTTATTGCCATTTATCAGCCTGTTTAAAACTGTGGAATAATTCATAAGTTAAAATTTTTATTTTCAATGTGCAAAATACACAATACCAGGTTATCCATATCAGAATATTATTAAGAAAGAAGAATCTTATATAGGCTTACTCTACTGCGACCAGAAATATCCGCAAGAAATAATATATAATTATATAATATGTAATATATAATAATAATATAATATAATATAATATAATATAATATATAATATATAATATATGATAAATATCCACAAAAATTGCATCAATGATTGAGAAGAATATTGATGATTATATTAGCGAAATACGACCCCATCTTTTTATTCAAGATAAATTAAACGAAACTATTCATAAAAGAATGCCAAAATTTAAGGCAATAAAAAGTAAATTCTACGCTAAATGTGCTGAATATAGAGAAATAATTGAAATAGTTTACACATCTTTCACCGACAGTCAAGATATTATTTGTTGTCGCTAATGCAATCGATTCTTTAAATCGAAATTAGTACGTGAATGGATATTTCATAAAAAGCTCCGAAATAATATATGGTAAGTACCGTAAAATGCTGTGATTATGACTTCAATTTATGTAAGATCTAAATTGCCCATTTGGCATATTAATATCATAACATAAAATAAAAAATGCGTGTTATTATATTCCTATAGGACTGATATTTATATGAGTTAGTATTAAATCGCAGCCTATACCAATGCCAATAGTACCTCTTTCTGAGCTGCGTTATACTTAAACCCAGCTACTGTTCTTGAAGGAGGAAAAGACGATTATTCCAAATAACATTGTGACGGAGTACAGACTCAGTCAGTTAATTGTAGCATTAGCCTTAGTAATTAGTAATTAAGATTTTATTACTTGTTAATAACATTTATTTATTAGGTATGGGGATAATTGTAACATTGTTAGTAGTCTAGTTATACTTGTTGTAGACTCTGTGCAGAGCAATGTATTTACAGAGGTGATAACTAATATTCACACAATAGTACTTTCTGTTACTTTGTGCTAAGCCTTTGGTTATTACTTGGCTATTAATTAGTTCGTAACTCATTAGTGTTGTTTACGCCGTCTGCCATACCAAACCATATAGACAATCGGCTATACAAAAGCTGTATATTTTTAGAGTTGCTTACCTAAGCTGTGCACCGAGTGCAGCCGAGCTAGGGTATATAAAGCCCAGCGCTCTCACTAGCAGTTGAGTTGTCGATTGACCGTGTAGTGTACGCGTGTATTTAGAGTAGTCTTGGATGGCAAGACTACCTTGGTTCAATAAACTATTTAAAAGCCTAAGACTAGTCTACACTTAGCCCGTTGGGGCATACTTGGCTGTTGTAGCCTTAGCATTTGTACAGCTTCAAAGCCCAGGTTTCCTTGTCGTTGGCTGATCACGACAAACATATATCTTGAATGGCAAGATAATAGCATTAGTCTATAATAATTTAGTAGATATCCCGGACCCCATTGATTCGAGTCAACGTAACTGATTGTTTAAGATAATTTTATGGCTACTACACTATCTTAATACTGCACTTAGCTTAGTAGAATCCATCGTATAGAATGTATTACACATTCGATTATCTTGATATTTCAATAAAAACAGAATCCATTACATTAATAAATTTATTTAAATGTTTCAATTTACACACTTTTGTGCACTATAAAGAAGTTTCAACAAGTAATCTTCAGCTGATTTAGAAAGATCATTAGACTGAAATTTTGCATTTAGTGATTTGAAGAAGTCACATACTCATACTGTATCTATAGAATATAATTTATCTATAATATACACTTTTAAGTTACACAAGAAAAGTCAAATATTAAATATTTATATATAATGGAGAGCTAAATAGTTGGCCATGTTTTGTAACGTAATCGTAAGGCTGATTCGTTATAGTTGTGTTAAATTATGATAGCCACGTTTGCACATAACACCAATGAGTGAATAATACTGTGTTGAAATAAGAAGCATTTATGAACTTTTTATATCACTTCGTCATAGGATTAAAGCTTATGTCATATATACCACTTAGATTTTAGATTTTATAAGCATCTAATATTTTAAACCTTGCAAATCTCCAATACTCCGTAAAAAGCTTAAAAGCATTGTTATAAATCTCATCTTGCAGCTATACTCACAGTGCCCTACGTTATTTCGATATCAAACTACTGTTGCTGAATATAATACTCGAACTTTATTCCAAGCCTATTCCTTTTAGATCTGAGTCAAAGTTAAACAAAGACAGTTATAATTCTTCACGAGCGTAAAGTTCTTAATTTTATTATTGGAGATCAGCAGCATCAAATATCATATAGTAAGTATGTTTCATTCTGCGAGAGAAGACAACATACATGGAACTTTAATAGCTGCAAAATTTGTAATGATATTAAAAGCATAATTTCTGAAAAAGATAGGACGGTAAAGCTACGGGATATTTTATGTAACAAACGCAGCGGACATGATTTTGCACAGTTTTCTAAGTTACTTGAAAGAAGTTCAGTAATTACAGTGCAAAAATATGAAAGAAAATTGTTGAAGAAAGCCAAGAATCCAATAGAATCATCGTCAATAATAAATTTAAATATTGATTATGCATTCTAATTGCATAGCAAAAAATTTAAAAGTAGATATTTATGGTTAGTAACATGGATTTCTATTATACAGCTTACAAGGTACGATAAAAAGTATATGCGAATTCCAATAAAGTTAATTACAGTATGATAATAAACTACGTCCACTAGAAAAGCCGTTTAACGCAAGATATTTTTAATATAGTTAAGCACAGAAATTTTATTGGTAAAAAGTTATGGATTTCTCTTTTTCGTTTAACACGACTTCTAGACGACCTCTTTTTTGACTGAGTGGCATTCAAAGTAGCTCAGATATTTAATACTAAACCTTGCAATACAGAATATACTGACACTAATTACATGTAAATAAATTAAGCAAGTTGTCATCTTCTATGATAAGAAATCTTGTTCTATTATCGAACTCTAAAGCTAATGTTGACTAAAGTTTAAAATTTACGTAATTTGTTCTAACCAACGATTAGCGTTATTTTAACTTTACAACAAACCCTCGACCACTACCTAAACGACGACCGGTATCACACGTGCACGACTAGACTACTATGAGATATATATGCTGTAAATCATTTACCCTTTAATATAATAATCACGATCAATAAATCATGTAGGAGAAAATATAAAAATTATCCAATAAATAAAATCATCTTTGAAATAGTGGTTAGCTAAGTTACGAATTATTCAAAAAGTAGCATGAACTTTATCAGTATTAAATTGATAACAGTGACTTTCTTCTCTATATCTATTGAGATTAGTCCATTAAGGCACTCATCAACAGTAAATGTTATATATAAAAGAACATATAAGGCACGAAATAGTTTAAATCAATAATTTAGAATCAAACTAGTAAAAATTTGACGAAGACGTAAGTCCGGCTTTTATCGATATTTTTTAATACAATAGAACTCAATTACAAGCTTTCACCATGCATACGATATTCTATTACAGTCATAATTGTAAAATGTAATCCAAATAAACCATTGGTTGTTGTCCTTGTACACTACGAAATCGTACAGTACTGTATGAACTGATAGATCATCATCTGTCTTATCTAGCATTAATTTCACTATCGCATTAACAACTCTAACAACGGGTAAGTCAAATTCTGACTAATGCGAATGCACTAACAGCACTAAAAGCCGTTAAGTCAACTTCTGGCTTATCTTGGGCTAGTCATATTAATAACAGTGTATTTATCACAGCAAGATATCGTAGTATAATATATAAACTAAATTAAGCATCCGCTTTATTAGTGGAATCCGCAGTATTAATAATTTGCTTGATAATATCTTGACGATCGATTTGTTCAAGCACTTCAATTATACTGTCCTTGGTTGCAGTATATCCATGTTGACTACGCCATCTTGTTAGCCAAGACAAAGCTTTATCGTTTGATGTTTGCTTAGTCAATTCGATATCATCAGTAGCAATGTTAGGATCTAATAATGTTGCTAATTGAACCCAATCATCACCGATCTTTTCCGCAATAATAGTAAAATTTAGCTTAGTATCTACGTTAACAAGACAAAAAAGATACGCGCATGTATTAGAATTAATAAACACAGTAGTAACAGTTAAACTATATTCTATAAGGTAAAAGGTATAAATTTGTCAGGACGTAAACCACATGACGTATATCTCAGCTATCATAGGCTGCACGCTTTAATAAAGACGATCTGAATTAAAAATCATCCTCTAACAGAAGTCACTGAAACTTAATTTCTAACGTAAACAAAGTACCTATTCGCAAGGCGGAGAGGTTTAACTTTTCATCAGTAGTATCCCGGCTATTGCTATTATTGTCATTTTCTGATGTTACGTTCTATTCAAGGATTAGTATAACCCATTAGAAATAGATTATTAGTAGCACTTCAAGTTAATTATTTTAGTATCTACTACAATAAATTTGACGTTGTCCCCAGTCTACAAACCTCTATAGTGCAATATTTAGGCTGTAAATCTATCTGAGTGCTCTCAGGTTTGAGGACAATCGAGCAGAGTTTTTCTAGTTTTTTGTTGGGGTCTTTTACAAGACATAGAAAATTAAGTACATAAAAGGAACAGCTGTTCCAATCTACGATGATAGGTTGAACAATACTGTCCTCTTGTACGCATTGCAGCTCTTCCTCTTTAAATTCGGCGCTATATCGGCCGTTTTCCAAAATAGTACCTTCTAGCCCTGTACTAATAGCTTCAGTGTGGCGAAATTTGGTCGGAATTTGCTCTACAATTTCCGTATTGTCATCGCTCTTTCTTGCGATAACTACTTTCAAACGGACCCTATTTGAACCACGATGAATCTCGGAAAGATAGCACAAGACAGAAACATCTTGCTGATAGCTGGGAAAACTATTTTTATGTAGTAATAATTTGGAAGTATAAACGGTAGCGGTGACCAAGTAATCTGCCAAGCGACTGATCGCTAAAGCAACACACGGACAGCCATTTTCATCCATTCGATGCTGGTAATCAATGTATTCTTCTCTCCAAACATCGCCATCTCTGTTCCGGCTTAATATACGTATATCTAGACACTTAACAGACTCTACACCAAGGTGTTGCGTTACTTCTTCTGCTACTGGCATAGGTATTTGCAAGGTGGTATTATTATTATCAATGTTATAAGCAAGACTTATATTTGGCTCGATCCTAACTATTGTCGATAGAGGAATTAACTGAAAACTAGGTTGATTAGGTATTCCATTAATATAAGGTGCATCGGCATAAAGAGCCGATAAAGTGCATCGAATACTATCTTCTAAGCTTTGCGCAGGTATAAATAGTTGCAGTCCAGGCACATTGGGTACGGCAATGATGGTATCTCGATCATTTTTACATAATTTGGATACTTCAGGAAGTCCTTCTTCCGCTAAAATAAAATCAATTACGCGTTAATAGACTCTACTATTCTAGGCCATAAATACATACGACTTAATGAACTTAATGATTACACAAATTCTGAGAAGAGAATATACTACAGTAGAATAATTCGTATATAACAGTTACTATTTTCAAATTATGCTCCCTTTAATTTTACGTATTTTGTGAAATACAAAATCATGATACAACGTGCCTATTTCAACAATCTCTATCTCACATTACCTGCAGTCATGCCTGGGTAGAGATATCTTTCCAGTTTGATATCGTCTTGATTTTGATATCTAATTCTGGCTTCATGCCTTTTATCAGGCTTCAAATAGTCCGGTTTAACACTCTCTAACATAATTAAAAATCAGATATAAAATTCGTTATAGGCTCGATATTTACATCCTCACGTAACCATAATTACAGTAGTCCAATACTATATATAATACCTGTTAATTGCCGAGTATATCCAACGACGCCATTCAAATTTATAACATCAGTACGAATATCTATCCAAGAATACAGTCTCATACTAACAGACTGTTGTAATTCACCTAGTAGATTATTGTAATACTCGTTAGATTTATAACGCACTTGAAGACCATTCTGAGATTTAATCTTTGTTAATTTGTCGGGTCCTAATATTTTCCATTGAATTTTTGACGCCTTATTTACATTAGTTTTAAATTTTTCAATGTTATCCTCTGATTGAAATATTTTTGCCATATCTTCATAGCATTGAGCTACTTCTAAACTTTCCTCTCCAGTTAGCTTAAGTTCTATACTAAGACATTTATCGAGCATATCCATAGCAGCTTGTCGTTCATCTCTCGAAATGTGTATCACGGCTAGATTACGATAAATTTTAGCAACATCTGAACTAATTTCTCCTTGAATTTCTAATTGTATTTCTAAGGCTTTTATTGAGAATGACTGGGCATCATCATATCTACTTTGTAGCTGATAAATGAGTCCAATATTTTGATAGGTACATGCTGCTTGTAAACATTTATCCCCGCCCAGTCTCTGGCGAATTTCTAGCGATTTTTGATGAGCAGCAATTGCTTTCTCATACTGTCCTTGCGATTGGTAAATGAGGCCGATGTTACTATAGGTATCGGCGATATCAAAATTTTCCTCAGTGATATTTTCTAACTGTAGCATTAAACATTTATCAAGCATTTTAAATGCTTCCGCATACTTTCCTATTGCTTTGTAAACTAATCCAATATTTGAGTATGCCATCGCTAGATCTAAATTGGCATCTTCGTCCAACTCTTCCAATATGCTAATCGATTTCCTACAGTTCGTTAAAGCTTCATCATATTTATGCATTCTGTAATAAACACATCCAATTGAGCCATAAGATTTTGCAATGACGGAATATTTCTCTTCAAGTAATTGCTTCTGAAGAGATAGAGATTGTTGAAAGATATTTAAGGCATCGATAAGTCTTCCTTGCAATAGAAATGTATTAGCAATGTTGTTCCTAACGTAGGCAATAGCTAAATTTTTCTCAGTTAATAGTTGTCGCAAAATTTCTAACGATTGCTGGTATGTCGATATTGCAAGTTCATAATTGCCTTGTGATGTATAGATTATACCAATATTTCGGTAAGAATCAGCAGCATGTAAATTTTTGCCATCTAGTATCATTTTTTGTATTTCTACAGCCTTTTGGTGCATCGATAGGGCATCATTATACTTCCCTTGTCGGTGATAAGCGATACCAATTTTATTACATAGATTAGCGTAATATATATCACTTTCTCCAACCGATTCTTTTACAATGCTACTAGCATTTTGAAAGATTGCAACAGCATCAGCATACTTTCCTTGTAACGTATATATATTGGCAATATTAGCGGAGGCCAAAGCTACTTTAAGGTTGTTATCTCCAAGTACAGATAGCCATATATTCCAGCATTTTCGATAAAACGACAATGCTTGATTATAATCGCCTTGTGTCTCTGACAAGCTGCCCAAGTTACAATAGGTCAATCCTACTGCTAAACTATTTTCACTCAATACTTCCACTCGCATTCTTAAAGCTTTCTCGTACATTGACAACGAATCGTTATAACGACATTGCAATTGATAGATACAACCAATATCATTAAACGTTAATGCTGCATAAACATTATTTTCACCACAAAGTAAAATAGCCACAGTTAACGATTTCTGATACTTTTCAATGCCTTCAACAAAACGATATTGTAGTGCCAAATTCCTACCAACATCGTAATAACCTTCACAAATACCTAAATGATGTGTTTTATAGGTTTCAATTTGAATTGTTAATGATTTCTGAAATAACAGTCCAGCGTACTTGTAATTGTGTTGTTTGTCATGAATTCTCCCAATGTTTCGATAAGAAATACCTACATCTAGCCCATTGGCACCTGTGATGTTTCTCTGAATAGACAATGCTTTCATAAATTTCTCTAGTGCATCTTGATACTTACTGTTCGATTGATAGACATAGCCTATATTATTACAGGCATTTGCAACATCGAAAGAATCTTCTCCAAGGATACTTTGTCGAATTACTAAGACTTTTTCATAATTCAATAACGCTTCATCGTATCGATGCTGCTTTAAGTAGCTATATCCAATGCTATTATAGGAATCGGCAACATTTAGATCATAATCTCCCATTAATTTGATACGAATTGATAACGATTTTTCAAACATTGATACTGCATTTTCCATTTTCCCCTGGAATTGATAAATTTTAGCAATATTGTTAATTGCTGAAGTCACTTCCAACGTATCTTCACCTAGCAGATTGATCAAAATTGCTAAGCTTCTTTTAAACAAGACCAATGACATGTCATATAGTTTTTGATATTGGTAAATGGTGGCAATGTTGTTGTATGATTCAGCAACTTCGACACTAGTTTCACCCACTTTCTGTAATTTAATAGCTAATCCCTTTTCAAGATAGGACAAAGCATTTTCAAACTTGTTTTGACATTTATAAGCAGCAGCTATGTGAGAATAAGAACTAGCAACTTCTAAAGTGTCTTCACCGAGGATATCCTTTCGAATTGCTAACGATTTTTCAAGCAACTTTAAGGCATCGTCATACGATTTAAGTTGTATATCAATTGTAGCAATGCGGTCATACGTTAAAGCTACATCTAGACTCTTTTCTCCTTTTTTGCTTTTACGAATGCTTAAAGCTTTGTCGAATGCTGAACGCGCATCTTCAAATTTATTTTGTAAACTGTAAAGACCACCTATTGTATCATGTATTTCAGCGATTTCGAGATGATCTTCTCCAAGCAGCGCTATTTTAGCGACAAGTGCTTTTTGATGCATTTCTATAGCATCGCCATATCTATTTTGCTTGTTGTAGATGGCAGCGATTTTTTCTCGTAATTCATTTACGTCAACATGGCATTCGCCTGTAACTTTGGTCCTAACTGACAATGCGCGTTTGTATTGATCTAAAGCATCGTTGTACATCTTTAAATTATAATAACTATCGGCGATGCATTTGTGGGTCTTCGCAACAGCTCCATAGCTTTCCGCCCCAAATTTTTGAAATATCTCTAATGACTTTCGATATAAAGGCAAAGCTTCTTCATCCTGGTTTAAATGATGATGAACTTCGCCTACCTTGCCATATAAGCCAGCTACAATAACGTTCGAATCGCCAAAAATGGCTACTTGTTTATTTAACGCTGCTTGAAACATGGGTAGTGCTTCAGCATACTTTTGTTGTCTATCGAAAAATCGGCCCAGATCTTCATAAGTAGCTGCAACATCAATATGATCTTCTCCTAAAAGTCGGATTAAAATCTCTAAAGATTTTTGGTATGCAGGTAAGGCCTCATCAGGGTCCCCAAGTGACACGTATACATTGCCCAAGTTATGATAAGACGACGCAACATCTAAACTATTATCGCCTAAAATATCTAATTGGATGTCTAATGACTTACGGTAGTACATTAAAGCATCTAGATAGCTTGATTTTAGAAAGAAAATGTTTCCTATTGATACATATACTGTTGCAACAGGCAAGCAATTTTCTCCAAGTATTTCCTGTCGAATATTTAGTGATATAAATAGAGACGTGAACGAATCATCTAGTTTCCCATGCGACATATACAGTGTACCTAATAAGTCATGGGCATCAGAAATTAGAACATGTTTCTTTCCTAATATATCCGTTTGAATCTTTAGAGCTTTCTTCATATACTTTATGGCTTCACCAACATCACCTTTCGATTGACTAAGTTTGGCTTTCCATATAAAAATTCGTGCCACTTCGACACATTTCTCGCCTGCTATCGATAGCGCCATTTTCATCGCTTTATCATGACACGAAGTAGATTCAATAAAGCTATCTTGTAAGCTATACATCATGCCTATATGGCCATAGCACAGAGCAAGATCCAAGCTGGCGGTATCATCTTTCAGCAGGCTCATGATCAACTTGAGACATTTCTTATGCATTAGCATCGATAGACTAAATCTACGTTGTAGACAATAGACAAATCCAAGCACATTAAATGACTCTACTAATTCAACACTTGTAACAGTATTCCCCAAGCGTAAGACGTGTTTGTCACGATCGATAACCTTGTATAGCGATTCCTTAGCTTCATCTAATTTTCCAATGATAGAATACGTATTACCAATATAACTGTAGGATAGAGCAACATCTTGGCTATCTTTCCCTTTCAGTTCTAATTTTAATTTCAACGCAGCTTCAAAATCATTGAGTGCATCCTCATATTGGCCTATTTCTTTCTTAATGTTACCAAAAGCATCAAGGCTATGAGCCACACGTAGTTTATCATTTAACTTGACTGCTAAGGTCTGCGACTGATCGCAATAACTGCGTGCTTTATCATAACGATGTTGACGACAATAGGTTTTGGATAAGTTTAAATAATCATCACATAAAGCTTGATTACAGATGTCATTGTTATCATCATCGTTTAGCAATTGCTGTAAGGTTAAGGTACATTGTAGAGCTTGATCGTAGAGGGTCAAACATTGCTGATAGTATCCTCTGACAAATCGTGGATTCGCAGTAGCAAGAATAGAATTGCGCTGTTGAATTACAGCCTCTGCCATGCTGCTACCAATGAAACTTAAAATTATATCAGTTCAATTGCAGCTTTTACTCTAAACACAGATGGAAAGAAATAAGTACGATTTACAGTGTCCCAAGGATTGAAGTTAAGTATGGTATAAATCGCAAGCATGAAGAATCTGTACAGGTTACTAATAAAGTATTAAGAGGTTAACTGATTATTCCAATAGGAATTAGAACTTGAATTTGTACAATCGTGGTCAATTATATGCAGCTACATGTGAGAAGATGTACACGCTACACAACATGGGATGAAGTACGCACAATTTTCACTGGAGAATCCATGCAAGTTACTTATTGAGGTAGATAGAATTTGTTCTGTCGTATCTGTAACTTTAGTATACAGTACAGTACTACCAAAATGATTTTTAACTACACTTATAACTTCAATTTCTTCGTGTGAGGCCTATCATACATCGGGCAACTGCTCATCGTAAAGAAGCATTCTATTTTAGTCTAATAACAAGGTAATGCAAATACTGCTACTATACGTTACTGTACGTCAGGGGACTGTTTATTGCTTAGAAAGTATTCTATAATGGTTTACCAGCAAAGGATTGCAAACTACTGCCATCATGCTGGCATATCGCGTAACGATCGATTGTAATTTGTAACATGATCGCAATCGTGCCCACCGTGACTGCTAAATGTAAGGAGACCTACTCGTTACTCAAATCTAAGATTGCCTGTAACTCTAGTACACCGTACTGCTAAACGATTTATTTCAACTTCAATGGCAATTTGAACTGGTTCGATCGAGGCCAATCATGCATAAAGAGGCAGTTAAGTGCAAGGGAACCCACACGCTACTCAAACTTGAAATGGAAGCCCATCATGAGCCATGAAATTTAAAAAATAGTGCAGCATGGGTAGAGTCAGCATAAGTCACTTATAGCACACATTAATGGAGTTCTATCCTATAGTATCTGTAACTAAACTTTGACAGTTAGTATATTAGAACATTAAAAGACTTTTTCCAACTGTAATGGCACATTAAATTTACTCGAGCAAGGCCTATCCAAAGGCTATCATGCATTCAAGATTTGCAAGCAGACTGCTAAGCCCCACCAAGGCGTAAAAGTAGTAAACGAATGCAACAATCCGCTACTCAATCAATCAATGGACGCCAAATACCGATCTAATTCGACAACCTAAGAGTTCAATACGCAACTTACTTTCTTTCTCTTGTCCTTGAATAGAAATCTTCCTTCCCATTAACGTTGGAAGACGGTTTACTCGTCCAAATTAAACGGAATAGCGTTGTGAAAAATTTTTTCTTGGCCTCGTTGGTTTTCCTGCTTCCACCCAGTCGATGAGGTCCGTCCAACGGTAGATGCAGCAGGATTTACACATGCGCAGATGGGATCCTTGTTCCTTGCCAACTCGCGGTAGCCCATAGCAACCATTATCAGTCGATTGCTCCCGCTAGCACAAGCTTCTCTATGAGAAGTTCTCTCTTGTCATTCCTGTGGAGGAAAGAGTTTTGCGAGAAATGATTATTAATTCGTGGTGAAGGGAATAAAGATTGATTGATTAGCTTGCAGTTGCTCATGTCCTGTGTTCATTCCATGAGTGATTATCAATAGAAACGAAGAGTAGATACATGAGACAATTTTTTCACCTTGCTGCTTGCAATAGTGGCCAATCACGTGAGATTGCTTATTATAATTTGATGGTGAATAATTAGATATACTAGAATATATCCCGCTCAATTATATAATTTATTAATATACATAATAGACATCAAATCGCCAAGAACGACATGGTGCTAAGCTCCATTATCTGGGAGAGGCGAGAAAAAAAATGATTCTTGGCTATTGTCATTATGGCACTATTGATTGTCGTTCTCGTGGATTAGTAGCTATAATAAAGACTTGTATAGCCGACAATGAGGAAGGGTACAAGATAATTAACCGTTGAGAATAGAGTCTTAATTCTCATAGATAGAACTCCTTATACCACCTTGGAGGAGAATGAGCTTTTGACGGGAATTTGGGGACAAGAATTCAATTTCATGACGGCTTCCACCTAGGTACAATAAGAAGAGCTTTAAATTCTTGACTTAAGGAGGGGATAGCTACTAGTCAAAAATCATGACCATTGAAATATTTAAAATATTTAGGATAGGCTAATTGGCAGGAGCAAGGAGCTGTACTTTATAGTATGGATATCATGGTCATCATGACATTGAATGAACGATACTAGAAATCTTAGGATGAATGATTTGTGTTCCAGTCAGTAGAAAAAGTCTAACTGCTAAAAAGTGGAGGGGTAAGAAATCCTCTCTTTTAGTGCAAGATTTAGTAAAATATCTTGATATATGAAGATGATAAGACGTTGTTAAACAACTCTACCTTCCATTTTTCGCTATACTCTTGTAGCATCTTATAATATTCTAACTAATGGTATTGAATAATGAGGATCATTATGGCATCAATGGCTAAGGCGATAACCTTATGATGATTAATAATATTCATTAATAGGGAATAAGTTAAGTTTAGCTGCTAAAAATCAACCGGTATAAGTAAACAGCAGCATGGCTCCTATACAATCGATAAATTGAGAAGGATTCCTGTGATTTCAGCTGTATATACCGTCACTTTCATTTCATGGATTTACACGAAAAATGAGTTGAAATTTCATTCAAATTGCCTTTAATGATGTTGATCAAATGTCAAACTATTATGATTGCGATATCGTTTTCAATAAATAAATCCTTGCATTAATAGAGCAAATCTACCCATTGATGGCCAATGTTAGTAATCAAGCAATAAATCAGAAATAAAATGTTACGTCTTAAGCGGTGTTATTTAAAAACGATAGAGTTACTTGTAGATCTATTAGTGGCTGCCTTATCGACATGGAATTGCAAGTGTTACGTTGCACTCCTATTGTAATTAAAATTATCCCACTAAACTATCTATGCATTAATACGGCACGCTACTATTTACTCCATTAAACAGTTAGATCTCTTGATCATTGGGGTAATTACATTCTAGTCAGTGAAGTAGTATTTAGACCCTACTCAGCGTTACTTATAGTAATCTTGGTCTAAAGCAAGTTTCAGCAACTTCAGTAGCAATCGATGTAATATACCTTTCTGCATCACTGTACATACGAATATTTATAATTATATTATTAAAGAAAGTCTGGTCTAAATCACACGATCATAGAATGATTCGAAAGTTTAAATTATGATGTACTCTATATTACTTTGTCAGATTCTATTTTCTATCTGAATATTATGCTAACGAATTATTCTTTAAAATATCAGTCTTTAGGATAGCAATGGTGGTACTCGGTATGGTAACAAGACATTTAAATGGCTCTCATTAATGAATTGGCAATCCTAAATCAATATTCCTGCACTCTAAATTAATTCTGGCGTGGTCTGGTATGAACTGTTACAATTGAAGTGTGCATAAATTGCTGGTATTACAATAACTATTATCATATCCTCAAAATGATTTTACTCAGCTATAAAATTAAAATTCAAAATGATCCATGCTATCAATAACAATCCAAAAATCTACTCTAATATATATGTATATCCATTCTGCCATCTACAATCTTAAAATACACAAGTTATGATGTCTTAAAATCGATCGCATTATCATTGCGCTACAAAGCGATAACTGTCGTCATTGTAATATGTAATTGTTCATATCCCTACCAGTATAAAATGCTAAGTAGATGCTATCCTTCCGATTGCAATATTCTAATTATCTAAAGTTACTTTCAAATTCATAATGGAACTGTTATCCACAAATATTGTCCTTTACCCATTAATTATCATTACCGTGCTATCAATTATTGCTTATAATCATAATATTATTTGTCCTTACTACGCTCGCCAGAGCCTTTTAAATGAAAGTTGAAAGCTATACAATAAACTTCGCTATTTAAAAAAGAAGTATATAAATTGCGTTTAAATATTATTTCATAAACTTTAAATTGATAAATCTCAGTTGCAAAGACTATCTTAAATTCAAAAACTATCATTGAAAATTTCCGTAAATGACTTATTTGGCCATTACATACATACAATACCTACTGTATTAACTGTGCTGGAGCAAGACCATAAGATACTTAATAACGCAATACATGATGTCAATGGATATTCTCACCGTGTCAAAGTAATTACTTTTACTTACACGATTAAATTCTTTGGTCTACTTTCTAGTTGATAATTTAAATTACAACAACTATCAATTTCAGTAATAGTAACATGAACAACTCACTAATAATAATAGCATATCGATAAATTTCACAATATTAACAACTACAACATATAGCTTTATTATCTACTGTGAATCGTTGAGAGCGTTCAATAAATTAATAAACTTATCGTACTGTTAATGCTTACAAATTTGAGTACATGAGCAGTATACTAGGATTGAAATAATTTGAATTGGTAAGTACTTGTCTAATTAATTATAGGCGCTAAATTAGAAATACCAGATTTTGTTCTAACTAGACTCTTGTAATCTCAAAATTTTTAATATAGATTAGCTACGCAAGATGATATCAAATACATTCTTGCGATACCGTATTATTTCATTTTGCGACAAAAGAATCTGTAAAGTACATTAAACGCATTTACTACTCTTTAGAGTTGACGAGAATTGGAATGATTCAAAAATTAATTCACAAATTATATTATTCCTATTTTGGACATGTTGAATATAGTAGTAGAAAACAACATAGCAAATACAAGGACAAACTACCAAAATTATAAGACACAAACAGTATTGAGTGTTAGTTATAATATTAGCAATTAATAAGTGATCAAACAGCTTGCTTAAGTAAAAGTTTGTTTAAAATATTGTTAAGCACTATTTATGATTATTCTAAAATGATAGTAGTTTTCATTTTGGTTAATTCGTTATGGTCGTTTGCAATGATCAGATATGACAGAAACTTTACTTTGAAGTAAAATTCCATAATTCTGCTACCGTATAATTAAATGAGTAGAAAGATTCCAAAATTATTAATTATTTAAAATGGTCAGTTGCTGGGAGAATGTTGAGAATTTATTACCGTAATTATAGAAATAGCCAACAAAAATATAAGAAGTCGGAGAAAAATACTTTACGAAAATCATAGTATTTATAATGCAATGAAGAAGGAGGATTACGTAGTTTTCAGACATAAAAAGTGATATTGGCCGCTTTCTACCTTACTATAAAAGTGTATCAGATCAATATTAGTAATGCTAAAATCGAATAAATAAATGCAAATACTGAAAACAAATTGAAAAGATTAGGGATAGGGTTAAGATTTATTATTCTAATCCTGTGATTTAGACATTGCTAATAATCTTCAGAACCAATTTCTTGCGATATCTCTTAATCAGTTTCTAAATAAAATAGTATAAGCGTAGCATTCTAAATTATTCTAGTAATAAAGTTGCATTATCCAGTCCTTTATTATGTAATCATTATGCTAAATTGCAACTGGTTTACTTTCATAAAATAACACCACGAACTAATATTACTGTAGTGTCTACGAAAGTTGTTTTAAAAATAGCGCATTTATATATCTTTATATAGATATATCTAGAAAATTTATTAGTCTATTACGATATTAAAATAGCTCACTATTTTATTGCATTAAATCATAACTTATTTAATATGAATTGAACGGTACTGAATAGTATGACTCCACTTTAGCAAATTGTTTTCAATAAAAACATATCACTACACGAAAATATATAAATTACCTGTGGCTAAGAACTTTTGTAAGTCTTTTTCATCCAATCCATCTGGCTGTAAAATTGAATTATTGAAAAAAATTACTGTCGATTCCATGGAATAAACAAATCGAGTTTAAAACCAATATAAATCTTGAACCGAGCTTGTAATACTTTAACTTACTAAAAATATAAAACTTGACAAAGCCTCAATTGGCCGGCAATTTATTCCTTTGCTTTGAACAATTATTTGACAAAGATCACCAGGAAAATTGACTGTATCAGAAAGTTGACATCGATAGGAAATCACATAGCTATTTCTAGCATTCCAGTTAATGCAGATATCCTTAATCTTATCTCTTGAATCAACTGAATTATGAATCAGATAACTGGACAGAAATTTAATCTGATAATAACCATTCCTTAAGCGAGTAACATCTTCCATATCATTTACTAATTCATGTAATTTAATCGTTTTAAGCCGGTTAGGTTGGTATTTAATGCCTTTTCGTGTAATAACTATGTCCACAAAAGCTGTCCCTTTGGTCGTAATGGACAAAAATACCTGAAAATCGATTTGCTGTTGTAATGTAAGATCAACAAAAGGCTGACTAGAAACAGCAGATTCGTCAAATAGAGGTTTTGGTTGGTTTATTACAGCGCAGAAAAATCCACAATGATTGATTTTGAAAAGATTATGATCTTCTTCTATGTTTATTAAAGCATTTTTTAAATTTTTAGCTGACCATTCTATATATAGACTCGTTCCATGGTATAGTTGTATTGAATTTTTCTGCTCAGACTTAGGCAAATTAGATGGTTTCAATTGCATGGACTGAAGAACTGGTAGTTGTAAAGTCGGGTATTTATCATTTATTATAAACTGTAAATTATTAGGTTCAATCCTGATTATTGGGGATAGCAACGTTACATTAATATTTTTAATGCCATAGGCATATAAAGAATCTGCATAATAAACAGTTACCATGATCTCTGTGTCTGTTTGTAGACATTTTGCTGGGATTATTAATTCGAAGCCAGATAAGGTATCCATTTTAATGATATTATCTTTATCAGCTTTGCATAGAAATTTCACATTGGGATATTTGGTCACAACTGCATAAAATATATAGTATTAATATAATTCACGTAATGTTTATTTTTTGATCTATATCGTGAATGTATCAAGTGAGATTAGCTAAGATGGAGATTGTTCCGAAAGTGATAAGATTCTGAATGAACTAAGAGTAATACATAAATATAATTGGTGAATAAAGTAATCTGTAGACATACCTTCATATCGCTCGTTAAGCCTTAGTACTGCACGTCGCTGTAGCTGGTAACCGATTGCCTTGACCTTTTCTAGTGAACTTGCAATCAAAGTGGAGACTAACTTATAAAATTGTAACTGGCCTATGCATCTTAGCAATATTAAAACATATATTTCATCTCTTTGTTGGGTTAAAGATTTTAAAGACACCAGCTGTTCTTGTACAGAAATAACCAATTCATTCCGAATGTACTTAGTGAGTTCATTGAATACGTCAATATCGGTCCAGTAATCGGGCAAAATGTCGCTAATTATTTCGTGAATATCACAATCAGCCAAAATTAATTCCAGATCACTTTCTAGAAATTTAATAGAGCCTCAGTTATCAGTACATGCAAAATTCTCTAATTTGCATTATGCATCCTTAGCTAATAGCGAAGTCGTAAGTCTTAAAAGCGTAGCGCTGTGGTTAACAACAGTTTGGTTAAATATAAAATATATATTTCTCTAATAGCTCGCTAATATTATAATTAAATTGGTTTTTCTTATAAGGCATTAAGTTTTACATTATTTTCCTATTAACTTCTCTTATAGCAAAAGTTATAATTACCTTTTTCAGTACAGTAATCTAAAATTGGTGAATGGTCAGCTCGATTCTGATAGATACTTTTTGCTATTTCATGAAAGTTATTGCTTGCATCTGTACCATAAGTTATTAAATCATTAATACATATTCCATGGTACATTATTTCATGATATAAAAAACCATATGCATAAATTGATTCAAATTACTTACTCTGATTAAAATTGTTTAAGATACGCTATTGTGCGGACACTTACCATCAGTATTGTTATCTTCAATTTGGCATCCATTGTTTCTGACTCGGGTGGCTTGGGATCCTATAAATTTTTACGTAAATTAATGGTTTAAAAGGTTAATATGAGAACATCATAACTTTAAAAGATACAGATATCGGTTTGATTATTATCGGACAAGGTACACCAGAAAGCTGTTACAAATCAAATTCGCATCAGAATAGATGCGACGTATTTTATTAACCGTCTTCCTGTGAATAAGAACTGATTTTTAATATCTTGCAATGAAGTTTAGTTATATTGGTAGATATCACCCTATTGCCACATTACCAAATCTTGAGTTACTTAATAAACTTCGATACAGCATATACACAAAACTATTAAAAATATCGTGCCCCAAATATTTTAGTTAGAATTTTTTGTTTAATGATTCCTTTCACTCAAATTCGGCGAAATCAATCAGAATATCATTACTGATCATTAGCAAGGGCAAAAGCGAATCACTACATAATGGAACAAAAAATTCGCATACGTATAAGCTGAAAGTTTGGCCTTAATTATTTAACGCTACTTTTACGCAATTTTTACTTACAGTTCAGATTGTTACATATAGTGCTAATTTAATACAATTATTGAATAGAATAGTTATTGATCGTTCTTTCTATACAGGTGAGTGGTGTAGCCATCGTGCTTCGGTCAATCTTTAAATGTAATACTGAAGGTAGATTGCTTTCGAGGCAATCATTCCATTATTGCCGATACTTACTGTTAATAAACATTAACTAAGACAAATTTAAAGCTAAGCTTAAGGCTGCTCCTTGCTACCCATTTTCTGTTTTTATCCTGCAACTTTCTAATCTAATATTTCCAGATAACTATTTGGTCTATTTGAACATATTACTGCCAGGAAGGGTAATATCCTTTAATAACTATTGACCTAAATAGCCTCACTGCAAAACTATAGAAACATATATCCTATTTAGGTCTAATTCAGGATCGAGAAATCCCTATATTATCAAGGGCACTTACCATTTTGATATTTTATAAATTCATTAGCCGATGTATAGCATTTCTTAATTTGAGATTGATCAGTGTCTTGACAATTTATAGAGTCGACAGAGATAGGTTCTGTAAATTTTTTACTGGTAGACTCCGTTAGATGATGATCATCTTGCTGATATGATTCGTTTGTATGAGTTTGCATAAAATTAGGAACAGTTGGAATAAATGAATGTTCCGATGATTTATCGTTCATATTAATATCAAATCGGCCTCAGGTCCATTTTTCTTATGCATCCATCAATTTTCAAAATTTAGTAAAGCGAAGGGAAACACCGCTGGAGATTAGCAATGCGGAACGATTCGAATGTTGCAACGTTGAAATTGCTCTCTAGATTAACTTCTATAGCATACTGTAAGTTAAATATTATTGTTTTTCTAGTTTGGCCTTGAGCAGTAGCACAATTCTTTGATAATCTTTTGGACAATAGTAAATTATTATAATTATAAAAGCTATAATAATAACGTTAGGCCCATTATTTAGTATTTGCTTATCATTAACAATACAGGACCTTTAATCACTGCTTACGGCATATGGATAAAGTATTATATACTCTACACATCTGTTATTCCCATCGAACTTTCTATAAAGATATTTTTTCATTCCGATGATATTTCATTGTTCCGCCAAATGCTATACCACTGTTTCATTGTTCCTTATTAGTGCATTGTGAATATCATTACTGAGAATTAAAGAATCGTTACGCTATTAAGAGCTAATCAACAAGTGACTGAATAAATCTGGTAACTATTGCCTTATTCCGTAGCTAGATAAGCGATAAACATACGCATACGAGTATTCTTTTTATAAGCGTATAACCTAGTACCTTACGCTCCATGTGTTAATAAACGATATAGTTAACCTAGCAAGTGGCAAGTGAATCATTTTGATAGCTTTTTCAAATAGTACTGGTGGATTATACTCGTTTAAATTTTTTAATATAGTATGGATATTGATGGGCGACGACAATATGTTCGTACAGTTTGCAGTGATATTAGAATGCATTCCATAAATTTTAGTCATAGCAGAATTTTTTTGTTTTCATCGGCGCGATTTACTCATTGTGCAATTTGGCACAGCTATAATTACAATTAGAACGCGGATATTGAAATACGTTTGAGTTTATTGTTATGATTGTAATCTATAACGCGGTTATTAGCGTCAAAGTTTGCTGTGGTCAATGAATTAGATTAAAAATTATGACCGCTCTAGAGCTCTTATCGATTAAATATTTCTTCATCGTGCAACGTAATTACTACCCTGTAACAAATCTCCTTTGCAACTAGAAAACGGGTCTTAAACACTATCTTCACTAGTACTCGTGTTCCCAACTAACTTAGGGACCTATCGTAGTTGAACTAACTCTCAGCTATACAAATAAGTTACTAATGAGTAATAGGTATAAATACTTCACTTTATTTTCGTTAATCTTAGTCGTAAAATGTACTAGAGAAAAACGCAATATTCTTAGCAATAATAGTTAAAAGATCCTGCAAGTGACTAACTGGAACTGAGCAGCTAAGCTAGTACTCGGCTTTTTATAGTCTCGGCCAACGCCGATGGTGCACTTGTGAATATTCTTGGCATAGCGACTAACACTGTACGGTATACATATCCTAGTATAAGGTATAGTTTTGGTAATCGTTTAATAATAGAATCTTATATATGAACTACTCATGCTTATTCTCCAGTAATTATGCTTAGTGCTTAAATGTTTATCGGTACTTAAATGTTCAAAATCACTTATAATTCTTCTATTCGCAGGTTGAAATTTTTACTAAAACTAGCAGATAAAAAAGACATCATTTAAAGTAAAATAAATATTTGTTAACTATAACGGTCAACCTAATCACTAATTATTCTCGAAGTCAAAAGTTTGGTACATACTGATTTCTTAATAGTGCGTAAAACAATAATTCTAATCAACAAATTGAGGCATCTGGCATTGATCACTAAGTTGCAGTAGTTACTTAGACAACAATGTAAATAAATGTAAATTAGTCACATTAAAATTTTATGTTTGTCTAAGTCGAAATATACTGTTATATGAAAAGTAGTATCAGTTTTAACGCTAAATGCTGCAATTTAAAGAGTACAGAGAAATTCTTAGTCGGAATAGACTCCACAGTGATAATTATATGACTACTACAGCTAATTGATTGCCAAAGTGGCTGCACAATGTCACTTGATCATATATGTAGATTTATTACAACTACATTATGGGAAGGGATAGTTAGGGTATCAGATAAATAAATATTTTACTTATAAATTGGCTTTCAAAGTTGGTGGTATGCACGTTGACTTATGGCCCGAATTATTCATTTGACACATATTAGTCATATGGCACCGACTAAGTATGTAGTTTAGATTTCTGCGCTAGATCACAAATAACAGACACGATTTTAGCGCTATGCGCGAAAAAAATAAGTTCTTTATTTGTAGTAGCAACCCCTTTATCTACAACAGATCAGTATCTAACGTAGTCCATATGGTATATCATCATAATGCACATGCAAGAGTATATTTCAAGACCATGATATAAACGGTACAGTATTTTGTGGACGCCGTATGTTATTAAATTGGATACTTATTAAAATCCCATACGAGATAAATATTTTTGCCTATAAACGATTTAACAATGAACTATCTAAGTATATGCACATTGGTGATACTCTCAAACACTAGGATATTGATAATGCTTACGCATCCTAGCTATAGTAAATATTAGTAGGGAAGCAGTAATTGCTTCTTCTTAGCAGAATGGTTGATGCTTTATGTCCATCAAGATCTCTGTCTGAAGAAATCACTTCTGAATCTTATTGGAAATTCTAATGTAATTCCTTTGGATTGTTGATATCAGATCTACTTATCTAGAGATAAAATCTTTTCCCAGAAGTGCGGTAGTGTCCGATTCGTGTTCGGTATTATAATTAATATTAGGCGCTCTTGATGAATGAAATTATGCGAAAACGAAATCTATTGCAATAAGAGTACTTTATTGAGGTAACATGATGTTTGCTATACAAGTATCAACTTGATAGTAAATAATACAGCATAATCGTTAGTACATTACTAGAAGAACCAATAGAACTATGCCAAATAACTCATTAGTCGCTTTTTATAATATTAAGGTTAACTAGTAGTAAAGTTACTTACTACGGCATTGTAGACTATTAACCATAATTAGTATAATGTATGGTACAGCTTTGTGGCTCTATATTTATCATAAATCTTCTTTAGTAGCTCCTAGTGATAGACTATTACAGAAGATTCTATGTTAGAAAACAGATGACTATATGCGAATAGAATAAAGAGTTGAGTTACTATTGATGCTAGAAGGGAAAATAGATAAGTACCCGTAACTCATTTATTAGAATATGATTAGTTCATCGTACTTTGGCTGATAGAAATAATGTCAACGTAATAACTGTAGCAGTTATTATGTCGGATTATAGATAGTCTGTAGTAAAACATTGCTAATGGTAATAGCCTAAATAAATGTAAAATAATGTAAAATGATGCTAAAGCAAATTGTGGCTGCAACTGCTGCAAAGAGTATGTAAACAGCCAACTTTAAATTATTTGGTTGTTCTGCCTAGAAGCCTTTCAAGTAATTGTATTCAGCTAGAGTACAGCTGTACGTAAGTTATATTTATATATAGGACTAACAAAATTCTACTTTTCTACGAATTTTAGAACTTCATGATCGGTTATATCCTAACAGTGAAATAATGAGACTTTAAATAGACGCTGTTTCAGAATTATAATCATCAATATAAAAATGACCTTAGGACAGACATCAAGTAGTAGCTATTTAATGGCTTTGATAAGTTTCATTAGACCCTTCTTATGTCGATGTGGTTGTTTATTGTTTTATGTATTATTAGATCTTCTATGTGATCGATTCGCTTCGATAGCGTATTTATGAATAAGTGATATTGTTTTAAAACATTTTATTTGCTAATTCATGTGCAGCAAGTGAAGATCACGATTGCCTTGACCAAGTACTTCATTATTAACACTAAATTCTGATGATTCTAAGATTATAAAATTATGCCATCTATTCCAGCAGGTTAACTATGCTAAACGGTATACTTAACTGACGGTTACCGCATACAAATATAAATTATGGTGCATACTAAGCTGAAAGTACAGTGTACGCTGTAGCACTTGCAAAGTTGTGCAGATCGTTGTAATCCTCTGCAGACAATTTTATAACGACACAAAATAATCTCTGAAACTTGTTTTCTGGCAATATATTTGTAATGTATCGAATCGTAGAAAATATGTTACAAAATACAGCGGAATGAAATGGAAATCAATAGTTTGCTGCTGCTTCTCTTAATTTCTTCCCAAATTTCTGAACAGTTGTGACAGAATTCTCGGTAAGTACATCGCAAAATTTCTCAAAATCTTCTCCGCTCCTTTCCTTCTTTAGTATAGTTAACAGTTGGTCCCGTTTATCTGAGTCATGCTTCAAGATCTTCAGTTCTTTACCTTGATGATCACTTATAATTCCATCATTTTTCAGTTGTCCTATGATTTCGTCTACAGGGACTATTCTACAAAATTCTTTGCTACGGTCACTTAATGCTTTTTGGGCTAGAATTAGATGCAATAAAAAATATTTCACTTGAGCTGTTAATATAATCCTGTATAGTAGGAGTTTAAGTTTAATCGTTCTGACCATCAATTTGACTAAACTATTACAGATCAGTTGCAAATCAACTTAACGCAACAATATTGAAACATATAATTAGACTAAGCGACAGAGCGATTTCTGAGAAGCTTCCGTAAAAAGAGGTATTCAGATTAGTTTATTATTCAAAAGTGCTGTTCGTTATTGAAAAGATTGCTACAGGTTTTCGGGGTTAAACTTGATAGTTAATGCTAATAGACCATCATTCTACGTGACCTGTATCCTATTTGAATCGATCGGACATTGAATAGCACTTGAGATCAGAGGTCGTAAAGTAATTCAACAATGCGGTAAGAGTAGACTACTGTGTGTAATCCGTTACTCAAGATTGTACCATCAATAATCTTGCAAGTAAATGTATATAGTGCATATAAAATTTAGAACAAATTTGATACTGTGGTACTACAAGAGCTTTCAACCAGCGTAGACTGGTAAGGTAAATATTTGAAATCGCCTTTCTTTTGATATATCCAATTGTACAAATTAAGAATAAAGCGCCTAAAGATACAAATCGTTATAATTAAGGACCTTCCTTTGTATGAAAGTCAATTACCGTAGCAAGTTACTCACTAATTGTTATCTGTGACGCTATAATTATACCATAGTATTCGGTCGTTGGAACTGAATTATTTGGTGATATAGCTAATCTCGCCTCTTAAGTTAGTAAGTGGCGTTCTCCGCAAGGATTGGCGTGTGTAGACTACTTTGTTACTAGTGGTGTGTGACACTAATCAATATAATTGATTAATCTTAATCTATACCCCGATGAGAACTAGGTTTAGTAGTTGTGGCACTAAATTTACAACTGAAAAGTAAAATAGAATCACGGATAAAAATTTCACGAAATACAGTGATATGCATGTTACGGCCAATGCCCGACATCTGGCCATCACTATCATCCATAATAATAATATACAGTATAGATTAACATAAATACGTGTATCTGATTCGGTCAATGTGCACCATTTGTGTCAAGTGTGTAGCAACGGTAGATTGTATTAACTACAGTATTCATTTCGCGGTTAGGTGGTGTATTTTTATTTGTAAACTAGTATTTATCAATTTTACTAAATGTAAGTAAGAATCATCCAGGCTTATCGTTCGACCAACAGGTAGGTTTCGTTTTGATAGAATTGCACTGTGTCAACAGGTAGGTTTAGTTTTGATAGAATTGAACTGTGTCAACAGGTAGGTTTAGTTTTGATCGATTTGGATTGTATCAAAAGTGCCTTCAAAACTAAACCTACCTGTTGGCTATAGCCTATAATGTCACCGGAAAGTAAGTCTTTCAGATAGCCCATCTTTCTGTCCATCCATAGCCGCCGTTCGTATACGTACAGTACAGTACTGTACACTAGTGTACAGTGTACACTACACTACAGTATACACTCAGCCATTTTATAATTACTGAATGACTGGTTTCAGCAACAGGTACTATAATATACAGTAAGTACAAAATGCCGGAGATTACTGTAGCTGCAAGCCCGTCGCTGCGCTGACGGTTTTCTTTTTTACAATAATTTAACTGGTTATTCCTTTTGCCTTATTGGTGCACTGCACAGTAGACCGGCCAGTTTTGCACTTGATTATTAAATTAAACCACTAAAATTTCAGTTATGGAACACTAAAGCATCAGCGGCGTGGGGAAAAATTTTCTCTTGTGTAGGGGCATGACTAGGTTTCATACAGTACTGTATAGGACGGTACTTTGCGTTTTGTACGAGTACCATACTGTCCGGCTGTTCTTAGCCGAAGTGTAAAAACGGTTGTGGCTACTAACTGTAAACTACACAATCAATGATCAATGAAGTGCGTTGTTAATAGCAGGCTCAAGATGAATAAAAATATTTCCGAGAAAGCTTGGCAGAGTTTTAGTTTCTTTCATGATCATGAATTAGCTTAAAATCGGTAGAATAAATGATGAATTTAAATGCCGCCAACATGGCTATTTTACTGTACACTATTAGAATAATGTATCATCGTTTAAGCTATTTACGCTGAGTATCTGAGTAATCGGGGTTATTATGGCTGGGCCTACTGTACACCGTACTGTAACTTGTATGCCACTTTTCAGTCATGGCTTAATTTACATAATGGCGTAGTCCTAACCTTGCTCTGTAGTGGTCTTTGTCCGATTAGGTTCTTCTTTTCATTTGGTAAATTTGTAATTGAAATGGAAATTGATTAAGTTAATTAATGAACAGAGAGTTGCAATTATTACGTAATTATTATGCAGTTATATTACATAGTCATAACATGAAAGAAGCATCCTAGAAACTGTTTAGTATTAAATTGACATTTAGTCGTCCAGTTAGAATTGGACTGCTCATATTCCAATTTATTAATCTTCGAATCTTCGATTGGATTTCGTATAGGTGCTAGATAATACGAGATATAACATTGCAATGATCTCAAAGGATAACTAGGTCAAGCATTGATCTGGTTTTACGAAGTGATAATTGACGACACGTTACGAAAAATATATCTTGTGGCTAAATTTACTATTCCGGGACGACAGAACGAATTCCCACGTCACCGGCTCACAGTCAGCGTTGTTGAAAATATAATGTTTCATTGAGATAGTAGAGTAGCGGTGTTTTTATATTAGAGGCACTCTATCAGGTATTATAGGCCTAGTGGATTATTAGTGGATAATGCTAGGGATGTTAGTCTTACTGCTAAAGTGGGACTGCATGGCGTCTTGATAAGTGGCACCGGCTCGTGTCAGTAAATGAAGTATGATTGGCCCAAAGTGAGGAATGACAATCATACGTAGCTTGGGGTCTTGCACTTGCAAGACCCATATTAAATATAAATTAGAAAAAGGAGTAGTATAGGAAGCTAAAAAAAGATATTACTTGAATTGACTGAAATAGGGATTGGGTAAACATGTTTATCATTAATCGTTTCTAGAAATGTATGAAAGGCCCACTCCTTGGAGTAGGAGTGGGTCGATAGTCTTGAGCTAGTTGTGTGTGCCTAATTACGTCATCTGAAATTCTACTACTGTAAAATTCAACAGTAGTATTTTAAGTAATAAACTATTTTTAACCGCTACAGAGAGGGCAAATCTTCTTGTGTGATTAGATACAGTAGCGTTGGAAGTAGCACAATATTACAATAACCTAGAATAAAAAGTGGACTCTACGCTTCCGGCTACTTTGCGGTGTCTAACCTAGTATTACGTGATTGACCTAGTGTCGAACGAGGGAACATAACGGTTTCTTCGTATTTGAGATGGAATAACGTTGAAGCGAAGGAAATTATCTGTTAATGATGTTTTGCAGCTCGTTAACGTCGTCTACGTTGAGCATATTATTAACTCACTCATTAAGTTATAATTTATTCAAAGTATCGAAACAAAACTCCATAAACTACTTTGTGACAAATTATAATGATAATAATTTGAAGAAACAGTGTCACAAGTTTGTTTTTATTGTCAGCTAACTATTAAGAATCATAACGCAACGGTACCATTAAATGTCGGTGCTTAGACATCTAGCTGGAAATATACTATTACGAAGTACTAAATACATGCCGTACTCAGTTAGCAAATAAAACTCGGATGTACACTTGTACAGTAATTATAATTAATTATAATGGATATCAACAATATTTTTGTTCATAATAGTTATCAAGTTTTACTGTACGCGTCTGCGGCATAAAGCGTAGATTGACTAGTCAGTTATTTGAGAAGCAAATATTTACCTTTTTTAGATGATTTCTCAACTGGGCGATCAAAGATAGCATCATCTGGCTGTTGTTGCGAAAAAGATATATTACAGGATAAGAGAATTCAGTAAAGAATCCGATTCAAAAAGTTCACATTAGCCCTAGTTCTGATACGAGCATCTTACCTTGTAAAGGAAGCACGACTTGATCACTGTATTTAGGGAATTTATAATGAAGATCTGGCATAATTCTGCATAGTCCTTGGGGTTGTCTTGTATCTTGCATCGTAAAGTAATAGTGATAATGTCCTTATTATCTCGTGTAAGAGGTCTGTCCAGATTATTTTTTTCACTTGCCAACTCATTCAATATTAAACAACTTGGTACAAATCGTATTCCATAACTATCTCTATCATTTAGTGTAATGTATTCCATGAAATTGTTTTCAACCTTTAAATATCTCAATTTTGAAGGGAAAGGTTTAGATTCATCTACGTGGCCCAGTCTCACGAATTTTAATTTCACATTAAATATATCCTGCGATAAAACTAAAAGATGAGAATGAAATTCGAAGCGTCCATCTGATTCAGTAGTGGTTTCAGATTGTATGGATGGTCGACATAGAGCAGGATTCACACATGTACTAGTCCGTGCAATGCTTTCACCAAAATCTTGCTGGGTAGATGTGCTATTTAAACCTTAGAGATATAAATCGAGCAGATAGTAAGGTATAATTCGGCTCTAATCGTTTGGTGGATTACTGGAACTGGTATGATATTAAATACAGAAGATACCGTAATTACTCGTATTCTCTCACAGAAGTTGTTAATTAACAAAAGTAATTCTGCATTTATACTGTTTCACCGACTACTACAGTAGATAAAGTACAGTAATTCTAGCTGCCCATGACGGTATTCGCAAGTTGGATATTAAGCATTGCTGAGAATATTGCATAAATAAAATCCTCGAGTAGTAAATGTTACACAAAATTAATTTTTCCGGCAAGATATCATTGAAAGTGTTAGATAGTAGTGGTCAAGTTGGAATAATCACTGCAATGCGGTACCAGTACATGAGTGTAGCACTATATAAATAGTAACTGTACGCGTGTTAATTAACTCTCCCTGCGTATAAGTCAATTTTAATTATTTATGTTGAATCTAGATCCCTAAATATTGTTCGTGCTGTATACACATAAACTAGTATTTAATTATTCAGTTTTCTACTATTAATTTATGCAATTTACAGTCTGTTAAGACAGCAAATTCTAGATGAAAAAGTGTTCTACGAGTATATTTATATAAGGTGAAAAAAAAAGACAAATAAAATCAAAATATAGATAGAATGATGAATTTTGTACTATACCGCGAAAATGATCCGGCTGTGATGCTGAAGAACACCTAGCAGTATTATAGTTGATATTTATTTGATTCAATCGATTCTCTGTTCCTAATTGCTTCATATGGTTGCCAACTGATGTATTCTGAGGATTTGATTCAGTCTCTTTGCAAGCTGTTTTATTATCTAAAAGTGTTACTTTTTCATCAATAGTTTCACTTGGTTTTTCGTAGTTACCACGCTGCTGTTGATTGTTTTGCAAAGTGTTGGTGAAATTTGACTGGTGTGAAGGAAGGGACTGAATGTAAACTAACAACTTGGCAACAGCATCGCTGTTTTCGCTTGGAATATTTTTCTTTATTTCATATGCTTTATAATAATTAGAACAAGCTTCATAATATCTGGATTGGCATTCATATACAGCTCCTAAGTAGGCATAGATATTGGCCTTAATTACATCTTGCGATGAACGTTTTAAATTGGAGTTCAGATTTTTTACAACTTTGGCCAGGCTAGCTTTTAATTCATCGACTTTATTTATGTTACATTTTCCGTGACAATTTCCCACTGATTGAACGAACACTTGATAGATATTGTGAGCGTTGCGGTAGGCATTTTTGGCTTTTTCTAAATCTCCTCGTAGGCCATAGTATTTGGAAATATATAAATAACTATCGAACTTCATTTGCAGTAAATCAGTATCTGGAGTTTCTCTTTTGATAGATTTTATAACTTCCTCGAACCATAAATTAGCTTCAGTAAAGCCATTTTTATCATAGCTCTGACATGCTCTCTGATAAAGATCACGAACATTTGAATCCGTCATTGACTTAAGAGATTATTTTGCTGTTTTTTCGGATCATATGGATATTAGGAAAAGGTTGGCGATCTTTAACTGCTATTCCAAATAGCTTTTTGAACTTGACTGAATGATCGTACTGTATCATATGAAGAGGAGTTTCTTGCGTTATTACGCGGGTAGTTAGTTGTGTGACGACAAGCAACTATGACTCATTGGCCGTATGCGCGCAATTTTCCTATGGTTGACTAACTTTCTACCTTTATGTATCCAGTTCTTTGTTTAATTCGTATTAGTAAAGTACTGTAGGCAGAAAGCATTCGTATTGTTTTAGGATTATAAGATATATATTTATACATAGTGAAGGAAAAGATTTCATAGGAAGCATGGCCTATTGCTTATTGAATGGTTCCGTAGTTATGTTTATAAAAGTGAAAACATGAATTGTGATCTGTATTGTAAAATTAAATTCTCATGAATTGTGTGAGCACCTTTTTAGAAGTATATTGAAAGACTGAATTTACTGTTATATAAAACAAGTCACGATTTACAAATTAATGGATGTTCATTCAGTAAGTACCGGTTATACACTTATGCGCATCTTGACCGCCTTGGCGAAAACTGCTAAACACGTACTACAGAAGAATTTAGACTAAATATACCGGTATGATGGCTAGGAATATGAGATACCGTAGACTTCTTGATCAAGCTTTGGCATTCTACACCAAAATTTTTTGCTTTATTTCTTAAGAACATACACTTCAACTAGCTATCGCAAGAATAAGTGGTTATTCACAAAATATTATACATTATCAGTATGTCAATGGCTGTTGTATAAAATGGGCTTTCTTATTGCAATTAATATTAGCATAATAGTGAATTATGCGTGCAAGCATTGTAATAAAGTGTACGTAATTTTGTCTATTCGGATATTATTGACAGTGGCTGACTAGTTTCTTCGCAGTACAACAATTGTTGTTATTTATCTTACAAACACACGCCAAGTCTTATTATTTATCGAAAGCGATTCTATAAATTATATATACAATAATGCATACAGTAATTATAAATTGTTAAAAATAATGTAATTACATGGTGATAAGAATAAAAATTATTGTACAAGTGTTATAAAGCTACGGTACGAGTATTATGACTACATCCAAAAAAATTCATGAAAGTACAGTAAAAGGTGAAAGGTGCTACAAGATGATGAGTTTAGAATCTATTTCTACTTTTATTAATCAAGTATAAATATTTATAGATACATAATTTACTCTCTATTTTCTGATCACATGCTTTCAAATATTTCACGTGCATTCTAATCGTTGAAAGATAGCTTCCCTCCTTCTATCGAAAGATTTCATTACAATTGCCATGTAACATAAAAAATTTACCACTTGGAAATTCATTCTTACGATCAGGTGATAGGATCGAAAGAATTAAGATATTGATATCCTTGGTAAATGTCTAGTAATTGCAAGGCAGAACGCCAAAAGCTTTCGCCAAAAATACACTTTCTCCGTAAAGTCCAACTGCATCTTGTCCGAATAAAGAACCACACCACAATTAAATTGCCATCAAACATGGATAAAATTTTTATTTTCGGCATAGGAAGGAGGAGTAACTTTATGCATAACTTACGCTAGGCAGTGATTCAGCTACGATCTTGACTTCAGCCATGTTGCAATTGCTACTTGAAGGGCCATCACTTTTTGTATATTATTAGTCAATTTCGATAAACAATTGACAGTCTTAAAATAATGAGGCATTACCTGGTTATTCCAAGCAAACAGGTACTCGTACCAACGGTACCATACAGTAATTATTCGACAATTATGACTGAACAGTGCCTGCTTTGTAGTCCGTGAAATAAATATGATCAGATGATACTTAATAATAACCATCAAATGATTAGCCAGCATTGACATAGTTCCTTTCTGACGTCAAATGTTGATTAGATTTTCATTTATTCACATGTATGTGCTTGTATCAATAAAAATGGCAATAAATGATCTAATTACCTGTTATTGACTGAGCTACTCTACCGTAATCAACAATCATGTCTCAGATTCTCAAGAGTAGGCTTGTAAGTGTCACTATATCTAAGTAAACAGCTATTACTGACCTATAATGAGTGTTTGAATTTGATCAATATTATATTATGCAGTTCGTTTTCTGCCCAGTAGTTCATAATTAACTAATTGGTCAGAATAACTTCTAAGCTATGACTACCATTCTATACAGATCATGACCATAATTCATACGTTTGAATAAACACGATAATATTGAACGTAGGAGCGGTGCTATGTGTTTGCGCATTTGTTAATTTTTCGGACTGTAAATGCGAATTCTTAGAAACTTTGAATCTGCAATTATGTAGGAAGAATGGTCTACTGAATAAAACAGGATGGCATTCGCGACTTCACGTCATCTCTGTCTTTAAACTTTAATTGTACAAGATTATTAATCTTGTAAGAAGAATTGTTAAATAATATACTAATAAATCAATTGCTATTCTGATTGTTTTTGTGGTTGAAACACTTTAAAGTTCCGTTCATACAAGATGCAAATCTTGATAATCTATTGATTAGTTTATCCACTGTTGAATAGCAGCAATGCTATAATAACATCTCTGTCACGAGTTGGTATAACATTTTTTCTTAAAGTTCTTATAAATATTCTCCAGTTTGAACATCAATAATAATGCTGTATACTATAGATACAAAAGCTTGTATTGCAGTAATTGAAATGTCAACAAGTCAAAAAATCACCTGATCGCTTGTAAACCGTCAAATAATTTTCATCGATTTATTTCTTTATGAATAGTATTATTATTGATCAACATTGGAATGTTGAATTTACTGTAATATTGGCGCGCTTCCTTCCCACTTTACCTCATGCAGTGCTATCGTAGACAGTATTGCATACTACAGTATACAAAAGTGACGGTAACGGTCTATTGTTTTAGGAATACTGTATATTGAATAGAGTTATTATTTGAATACGAAATAAATTTATGGGCGGACGGATGATATAATAAATGTTACCAATAAACTAGTTTTCACTAAGGTTTGCGTGATCACTAGCTATCGATAAAGCTCAAGTATGTTCTGTCATGAGTGAACGGTCTAGTACAGTAGCTTGAAGTTAAACGCGATTCAATAATTGAGCCGGTATCTGCGTAATGTGTAGGCGAATAATTTACTACTTGCATTGTAATGCAATTGGTTTTGTATTCCCTCTTACCATATTGAATAGTAGGGCACAAGTTACGATTTTTAAGTCGATCACTTTACAATAAATGAAATTGCAGTAAATAAGTGACGGAGTGGGGTGCAACTGTACCTTTTCCAAGGTACAATACATGGCTTCTTTGCAAAACATTACACCATGTGTACAAGACGTCAGTTTCCTTTCATTATAAACAAATTTTTCTGGTCTATCATGGAATGCATTTTAGAGACCCAAGTGTTCTGAATACAGCATACGGTCGCCATCGCTATACAGTACACCAGTTCATCATTACTATTAACATTAGACCATACGAGAATAGTCTAAAATGAACTAATGAACATGCAAGCATTTCTGTAAACTATGTATCAACCTTCCGGAAGTCCGGCTTGGAATTTACAGTACTGTAAAGTACCGTACAAGGACAAGATTGATAAAGAGTTTGCAGTACAATGTACTGTAAAGTATACAGTATTCCAGCACTGCAGGACTCGCTCGTCGTTTTTTTTTACAGTACTTAAGCGTCCATTTAATTTCATTCTAGCCATTAGTGCAAAAGTAGACCTGATAGTACACTGCGCTACTGTACTGTACGAACATTCCAAGCGGCTGCTCCGGCAACGGACATTCACATCTTCGACGAACCCCAAAATTGCTATTAGAATCATTATCGGTTTACTCTTATCATTCAATCCAAAGTTTATCCAAGAAGTCAGTTGGAATACGCATCAACATAGCTCATTTAGTGGGTTATGTAACCCTTGAAAAAAAAAATTCTAAACGTCTAGACATTTTTTCAACGTCTACTAGTTCCAAGAAAAAAATGGCAAACAAATCTCTCAAGTTGGTTAATACCCAAAAAATTTATGATCTCTATGTGGATGCTTGTCGATGGCGCCATGATGAAGGAAACCCGCACCTGGCTAATTCCTATTTCGACAAAGTGATCGATGAAATTCAATCTTCAGCAAGACTTACCTTCGATTGGAGATTACGCCGAATCGTATTCGGTTGTTATTTTTGGAGCTTTCAAATTTATACCCGACATGGAATGGCAACCGAAGCCAAAGCGGCCTATTTGAAAGCTGACAGTATTGCTCACCAATTGGCAAATAGATCTAATGCGAATGCTGACAGCATGAAGATAGTTCTCAGACGGCAAACTAGCTTGTCCCTAGCCGTAGAGGATCCGAAATTTTGGTTGAAGATTTTACTGCAAAAATTGGGTTTTCCCGCAGCCGCTATCCAAACCTATCTAAGAGCTTCGTATCAGTACCAAAACTATCAACCCGCGAACGACAACATTGACTCGGAGCATCGCAACACTACCTTCACTATGGGAAAAAATTCACCCGACAAGTACGGTGATCCCGCGTTCGAATCTGTCGATTCCATCATACTCTATCATGGACATCATCACGATAGGATCAAGTCTTGGCCGGGTTATCAGCAACCAAATCATCCTTGTGAGAACTTACTGGAGAACATGAATCCAAATGTCACTGTTTCAAAAATGGAAATTTTCAACAGCGATGACGCATCCAGTCTATTCGTTGGTAGCGACGCAAAACAATGCAAAAAAGAAAATCAATTTTTCGCATCACCACCAGGAAAGCGTTCTTTTAATAAAGGTATACAGTGTTGATCATCGTGATTCATTCATATATTAATTGTGGAATCCATAGTATGGATGATGTTGATCCAATATGTATTTTTTATTCTGCGATATCGTTCAACGTTAGAGCAGTTGTTTATTTATGTTTTTTATACTTTCCATTACGTACTTTGTTCGACAGTGACTCCGAATATTGTTACTGTACTGACTTAAGCCGTGCTTAAGCCATTCGTCAATGCCTGTCTACAATTTAGCCCTATCCATTTCAAGCTGCCTTAATGATACATTCGACATAGATTGACATATCTCAAAAAATATGAAATGAATCAATGGCTAGTGTCCATTCTGTACCAATTATGAGAGTGAGTTTATTCATCTCTCGTCGTAACATGAAAATCAAACATGATCGATTCAGTGCTCATATTCTATACTGTAATAAGTCGTGTGCGCTGAATCCGTAGCCGGGCTATCACGACTTTTAGGGCCGATGCGCTAGAACAAAAAGATACGCACGGTACCCAATAGTGACGTCACTAAAAAAGTGTCGCAGGCCGGTTATAACTGTACCAAATTGTTCAACAGGTGACCCTAACACCGTATCGTACAGGTGTACATGAGACGTCCGTACGGCACGAGACATTATGTGATCGTGTTACCGATGGACAAATTTTTCATTTCAAGAACTCAATTTTAGACCAATCTATGTAGTGAAATTTGCTCCCGCCGTTTGGTATCAATCTGCTTTTCCTTTCCTTATTTTCATTATGTCGACGGCTTATCGCATTGAGTACAATTAGAGTAGTTAATTAAGTCTAGCTTGTTCAATTCGAATCCCTACCCTAATGGGGGTATCAAATTAACGACTGCTTATAGACGTAACAATATACTGTATACAGTATAGACCGGGAGCACAGGGGCGTGGCAAGCCCTTGACATACAATTGTTGAAAGATGCTTAATTATGTTGTTGCCTTAGATTATTTCTACGCCAATTCCATGCAGGCAGATCAGTACAACCTTGAGCTATTGGCTCTTGATACTTTGATTCCTTGTTATCGCAGGATGGAATAATTGTATTTCTTTCAAGTTTCTAATACAAACTATCAGTCGCTCCAACCATTTTACAAGTCACGTCGTAATTCTGGTCTAATAGCTACATTAAGGGATTGCTCGAACTTGACCACTTCAAATCGATACCGTGAAATTAGATTGTAGCTGAATTACAAATTGTAACGCTTCAATTGAATCGAAGTTGTATTTCATCTATCGCCTGTAGCTACCAAAGTAAGGCATGATTGAATATTATTGGAACAAACTCCTGGAAGCCTTGACAACCGATTTGTAGAACAGTTTTAACATATCCTTTGACCGTTTTTATTGACAATCACCCACTTATCATATCAATTAAATCGATTTACCTGCAATCGTAGTGCAACTTCAATTTTGCCTTCAGCTACAACTAAGTAAAAATATTACCGCTCACATTCTAAGCTAATATGTTCGATTCTGATTTTATCTCTAAGAATTCACGGATGCTAACCCTGCTCATCGTCAACCTGAAAAGACTAGCGAATTCGACCATTTATTCTTCTGTCGGTCGTACATCATACGCACAACAGGCCAAGCTATCTATTTACGGTTGGTTTTCGTACGCCATGGCTACCAATATAAGCCTAAACCTTACCCTTCAAGATTCAATCAACTTGAAATTTCAAATAATTTTAAAGCATCCATTCCACTAAGTGAAAACGAGCAGTATGAAGTTCGATTCACGCCGAAGCACCTTATGCTAGACGAGCTGGAAAGGGAGAAAAATTCAATGGTCAGGCCTCTACGACTAAACAATAAGGACCATATCTTGATATCGTATCGATGCAAGGAACGAAGCACAGCCGTTATACTACCTGAATTGTGCCAGATCACAATTCATAATTCCATGGGTTTGGAGATCGATTCGAGTTTTATCCCAAGGGTAAGATACTCGTCCAGTAGCTAGGGTTAAAATAAGCATTTTAGAATAAAATCTAAGTTTAGTTAAATCTACGAAATCTTCATTTGTAATAGCCTATTGCTGAGAAGCCCAATGCTGAAACATTGGATGCTAACCAAAATAAGAAATCATCAGTCACAGGTAAATACTCGTACTTATTGAACGGTTGACTAACTGATAAATTAACCTGATGATTGTTTTGCACGGAAATATCGAAAATTTTAAGATGGTTAAATTTATTGTATTGGGAATACAGTCTTATTTTCGATAGTAACAGCGTAAGCTAAATAAGAGTAATTTGATAAACTGTTTAACTATAACCATCTACTTTCAATAATGCAAGTTAATAACATTATGCATAGTTCACCAACTGAATAAACAAATGTTGGCACTGTTTACTCAAACAGTTCATAGTCACATTTTCTTACAAAGTCATTGGCGATAGAAATATTATTGTGCCGATTTTGTTGATGATTTTTTTAATCATCTTATTAATTTAACAGACAAAAACAATTCATTATCAGACAGGCATGTTGATACGCATCATAATTATTTATAGGTAAGTCAGTAGAGGTGATTTGCGATAATAGTACGTTTTATAACATTACAATACTATCACAGATTGTGATGATATAGCAATATTCCTGTCATTATTATTATGGAATTAAATTTATTTCTGATTAATTAATTCATCATTTGTATCATATTAGTAAAACACTTGAATATAACAACATTGATTCGTATATTCAAGTTGCACTCTTACTATCAGTCAGATCTTAAAATCATGAATCAGTCCATACAAGACATTATTTATTATCGTGGTGTGTTTTAGGCTTATAGTAACACAAACTCAATCTGATCTTACCATTATGATTTAATCTTTGCACTGTTATTGAACATATGGCTATGCTAGATTATTTACCGCGCTATTGTATATCCTAGTCAACTTGCAATGTAACCAAATCACCTAGAGATCAAACAAGCTTGCAAAGTCAAAGACTGACTTGAATGACTTAGACTAGACCTACGCGTATTTTAAGATAATGCACTGAATTTTGTTATCAATACCACATAAATTTACCGTATTATCTAATTGCTTCTTTTCGTTAATTATTTTTAAATAATCTCCATCTCAATTGTTGAATTTATTCATCTAAAATTAAATTATGATCATTTGTCCTTGGCGTAGCCTTGAGCTTCTTATTACATTCCACTGTTGTCCACAGCAGTAGAGTATTGGAAGTCCATAATGAACCCAATGGACAGTATTATATTTTAAACAAATTTATCACTAGTCTGCGCTTATATAAAATAATATGCCTAGATTTCTATATGTATAGTTACAGATCTTTTACACTGCAGTTGTAAATAATCTGAGCTACTATGTTATAGTAGGCAATCGTCTCTTTGCCGATCTACGATAATAATACATCATTTATAACGACTATTCACAAAATATCATTTAGGACATAAACTCTAGTTATAAGTTCTTTGATTCAAATGGAATAATAATTCACGCCTAATCTGCTAACAAGACTCATTAACATCGACTGCTTTTATTACCCCTAACTCTAGATTACTAAACTTTGGTTGACCGTGCAAATGGACCTATTGCCTGGTACAAGCAGGTCTTCATTGAATTCGATTATTTAATAATAAATATCTCGTGAAAGTCCTTAATATGCTTATTTAAACGATTTTTATTTTTAATTCGGACTATTCGCAATTAAATACGGTATAGCAATGCTAAACTAATCGTGCTGTGACTTGAAAAATCCCAAGAGTATTGAAGTACTACTTTAGTATAGCTGAAATCTACTATATCTTTATATAAATTTGCAAATAAATAATAATGGATGAAATAATATTGCCTGCGGTATCAAATGAAACATTATTGATGCGAATCAGTAGCATAGAAGGATCTACGAATATATTAACTGTAAGATACGACAAGAAGATTTGTCAAAGTGCTTTCGTTGCTACTGATTCACAAATCTTATCCTAAAATGTCTTGAAATTGAGGCTTGTAACTCTGAAATAGTCTATTTAAAATTCACTGTTTTGTTGAATAGCTAACATAAGCTCTTAAACATGATAGCGACTATATCACATTACATAAAAAGATACTGTATTATCATGCATTGTAAATTTGAGATGAATAAAAATACTCGAATGTTTAGCAATGTCTAATACATTTATTAAAGCTAATGCTTCTATGCATATTCTAAAATATATTTAGTAAAGTAAGTGATTTTTCAATGTGCTGGAATCACAGTAAAAGGCAATTGGTTGTTCACTACTTATACCAAACAAATTAAGGGAAGAGTGCCAATATTTATTCATCCTGAAACATTCAAAGCTTATGCGACTTAAATTGTAATAAAAGAAGTTTTATAATGTAGCTTAAATTCGGAGGGATGAAAATATAAAGGAGCAGGCTTGTCGACCATAATAAGTCAACTACCACTAAAGTACCAACTTAGTTACGTTGTTCTGGTCATAAAATTATTCTCGCTAACTCCTGTACTTTTCAATCTACATAAATTTCATTACCTTCATATGGTCATTACAGAGGCGTTATTAGAAGCATCTTTGTTGAGAAGTAATAGTCTTAATGTACTTGACTAAATTAATCTGAAAATTAATTATACTCACTCAGATAGAAATACCTTTAGATTACACTATCCTACATTTGACAAAATTTCTTGCCTACTTCAAAATTCTAATTATATTAAGTAGATTCTCTGCAACCCGTAGCAAAGAAATTAGCTAGTCATTGCCGTTATTACATCTACAATTTAATCCGGAATAGTCTGTCTAAAATCAGCAGTTGCAATATACAGTATATGACTGTTTCAGGTGTAAAGGAGCAAGGCATAAGTAATCTATTAGTTTAGTGTAGTAGTTCGCAACATAAGTTTGTGACAATGACATACTAATTAACTGATAAGACAGACTAAATCAACAAATTAGAAAATAAAATACAGAAATTGGGTCTATATTGCTTTCATGATATTATACTATAATTTCGATAATACCGTAATTCGTAAAAAGGCTAGATGGAATGTACGACAAAGTAAAATGATATGCATTTGCAGTTACAAGTCGTATAGCTGTAATCCCTTTGATAGTGCTGTTTTGTATTCACCTAAATTCTAGATATGCTGAATTTAGAAGCCGCAAACTGGTAAATGCTATGAATTGCTATTTAATATTTACGTTACAACCTTATAATTGTTACAGCATTACGGGCTGTATAATAATTGTGATGATTACTAATGTCATATCTTTTAAGTATAGAGTATTTACATTTATACAACTAGACTTCTAATTCTACTCCATAATTATAGATTATACTAACTTTACTAATAAATCTACTGTTTAAAATCATACAATTATATTGCTTTGTCAGTGCGAACGAAGCGCGCGCTGCATGCAACCTGATCTTTTTGAATTAATAAAAGAGGGTAGGAATTGGTAGTTAATTATACAATAATTCTGATTACTTGTCAAATTTCTTTCTCATAAACTAGCCGAAAGTAGTGCCGACCTATAATACGGTTGCTAGTATTAACACTAGATAGAGATACCTCAATCATTACCGGTATAATCACAAGATTGATTTTTATAAATTTTCATTTTGGCCTGGGAACTTGTTCTTAACTGATTGTGAAATAGTACGGTAATACGAAGCACTAAAAACTCGTTTACTTTCTTGTTAATGCACTTTACTCTATATCCTTAGGGTTTTGTTAAAGATAGATCAAATTATGAGTTAATACAAACCTACTATCGATACTCAACTAAGGCTTTGATATTGAGTTGGCATCTCTCAACAAAGTCTAAATCTTTGCCAGTAAAGCATTTCACGATATTGATTCTGCAATTGTAACAAAACCTGTTCTACTAATTGTAATTAAAGTATATTTCACATAAGCGATTTTAGAATAGCAAATTTTATTACTGGTTCTCTATCGATTGAGATCATACGGACGCAATAGCACAACAAACTCCGACGGACAAGAAAAACTTCCTAAAACGGCAGATCTTAGAAAAGAAGGACTAAGAATAACAATGACAGAAAAGCATGGCTGCTTAAATACGTTATCTAAGTTCTTGACAACATAACAGTAATGACAAACATAACTCAACACTTACAGAACTAAGATTTTGGTATTATCTTAAGTTATATCTAATTCACATTTACATAAGATGTTGACAATAATAGCTTATCTAGCAGCTTCACTACAGCGATACATTAGAGAGATGGACTGAAATTAATTCAAAAATATTTATATTTCATTCTAATAACTTGAAATTGTATTGATGTCAAACTTCCATTTTGGTATACTTTTTACAGTAACAGAAATCATTTGTTATATTATCGGTAAAGCTATCTTGATTATTATTTTAATAGCTAATTCTTGATGATCAAGGTTATTTATTAGCTAGATTGAGATATATTAGCTAGAAGGACACGATGATTACTTTATAGACTTAATATTTTAGAATGATATTTTCTTATGAAATTTCTTGAGATATTTCTGAAAGTTTCGTAACTTTGCAAAACTGTTTTTTGATAATGAGATTATGTAAGATGATTTAGAAGATGATAGGCTAGTAGTTTTATGATTTAAGAACCAATCAGAATTATGAAGCTTTAAAAAATCGAGCAATTCGAAAAAAATAGTAGCTTTTTACTCAGTTTGACTTTAAGATTTATACTCCAGTTCCATCTAGCGATCTATGGTTTGGCAGGTAAAATTTTGGATGTTAAGTGACCAATGGACATCTATTAGTCATCTCAGTAATAAAGCATGGCACACAATGTAGCACTTGAAGGAGTTAGATCTAAACATAATTAATTTTTTAAATTCAGATAATCCTAAATTTCTTAAGTTCTTGTGAAAGCTACTACTAAACTTTACCATAAGCATCTATACTACAGGCTTGAGTCAATCTATTTTAGCATTATCATATTCTATTTATTTAAAACAGATAACAATTGTTTCTAAGGTAAATTTAGTATAAAAATAAAATCTAATACTAATCATCGCTTCAACATTGCCAGTTTTAAAATCTAGACAGAACTAGATCAAATTTACATACCAGCAAAAATCGGATATCACTAGGCCAGTTAATTGATTACTAGAAAGAATCTACTATACCTATCATACAGCTCTGAAAAGAATACCTTAGAACTTACGCTGCTAGTTTTTAGAATCACTATTTATTTTAGACAGTTTTATAACCTTAAAAATGTCATTACCATAAGAATTTAAACTGATAAATAGGAGCTGGAAGGGATTTATGAATGCAGATAACTTAATACGTGCAACATCACGATTTATCTTACAAGGAAGTAGTTTGTACTTCGCCACCAAAGTATCCCGTATATCAAAGAAAAGTTAATACTTCCATCTTTCTAATCCTTCTAAAAATTATAATTTATGTAGATAATCTGTCATTGCTAAAGCACAGTTAATAATGTTAAATATTTATAGATCATTAAGATATATTATGCTCTCATAAGACATTTAGTTAATTTCCTTTCATTTTTAAGAGCATGTGCAATAAAAGCAAACACTGTATATACATTATTATTAAAGCTAAGAAGATTAGGTTAACCGAATTTCTGCAATCAGAAGTACCGGAAACCAGTCAGTTTGTAGCAACGATAAATACGCGTAAAACATAGCTGATGTGGGTAAATAATGAGAATAAGAGTGAGAGTACTAAGAGTTACATTTGGTGCGATAAAAATACGTAAATTATTGCATTTTCATAGCGGAAATCAAAATCAGTTGGCTGTTACAATTATAATAGAACGAATTTTCTAGATTAATGACTAAGATATAGCATAATAGACCTAAGGCGTGAAATAAACAAGTAAGAATAAGAAAAAAGTAAAAGAAATGCAAGGGCAGTAGGATTACTGCTAAATATCTTCAGCTCATTAGGAGCAATTTTGATAATTTAATTAACAAGTTTAGTTAATTTCGGAGCAAATCGATAGCTGGAACATTTGCGTGGCTGGCAAGTCATTTTATTCATCATATAGTTGTTTCAATTTTACCGTACATATTTGATATGAATCAAAGAATAGGAACATCGCAACATTTTTGAACTTTCATAATTGTAAAATTACTGAAGTGGAACAGTAGAGTATTCCAACCTCCAATTTGTCCTTAGTATTTATATTATATCAGCCGATGTAAAACTGAATGTGTTTTTAATTTAAAGCGCGTTCAATATCGAATAATATAAGTACGGTAGTTGTCGTACGCAATCGGCCTAGATCGATACATTTTACATTGATATCGAAAACGGCTTTCTATAATAATATTTTGGGTTGATTTACGAATTGTAGAGAGCTAAAGCATATTTCGTTAGTATAAATTTTTTCTGTTTCCTGTAAGTGTTTACGAAACATTATGAGCGGGCATTGGTAGTAGCAAGTGCAAGTTATAGTTAAAATGGCCGCATGACGATCAAATTTATGCTCCTTGCGGAAATTACGAAATGACGGTAGAAATATTACTTAAGCTTTATCTTTATTTAGGGACTATTGTAAACTTTGCTCGGTAACTGCTCAGAAATAATGATAAGAGTTAATAAATATTAAACGTTTCAATAACTGAAAAAATCTTAGCAATCTATGCCACCAATTATGATCTGGATAAATAAAATCTATAAGAATGGAAAAGCGGTTGCAATATCCAATCCTAAATTAATGACTATCACAAGCCTTAATTTATAAAGCGCCACGTAATCCAATACGATTAAAACCGAAATGACAACACAGCCTCCAGTTTAGAAACAATTACTTCGGATTTTGGTAATGAGAATAAAAATTGTGTAAGGAAGGGAGAATTAGGTAGACTGTACCGTTAACATTGTAAGTAGATTTAAGTATTAGTTAGATAGATACTTATATCTACTTATAAGGTTAATTAAAAACACTGATGAGATCACAAAACAATTTTACATCTAGATATAGAGAAGTAAGATTAAAAGGGACGGGTAACATGTTGTCAATTTGTGACAATAAAATCTCTGTCAACTATTAGTAGCCATTGTTATTTAACTGAAACTTTCTATCTGACGCAAGTTATTCAAATTTATGCTAATTTAATTGTATCTAAGCATTATAATTAATAGTAAGATGCATTTGCATCGAAACTAATATTTATTACAACAAACAATTTTAAATATAATTCAGCCTAAAAATTTCATAGTCAATTAAATCAAAAATTTTATTGAATTCTCATGGTGTGACAAACCACGAAAGATTTGATCACCGTAATCGTTTTCTTAAACTTTTAAGTTTCATCAATTCTACGATTTTGGTTATAGGAGTAGGTGTAAACGCTATCCTAATTTACGAAATTGTAGTAAACAATAATACAGTCACAGCAAGCAAACATTATTCGCAATACAATAGAATAAACCCCGATGGGAAAAAGGCAGCTGAAAAAGCAATTTAAGAAACATGATGAATAGAGATAATTATTTATTAGATATGTAATATAATGGGTCCATCGAGACAAAGACTGCGATTTCGAATAGCGTACAGTTTTACGTAATATCTTAGGCTGGTAATTGTAAGAGTAATAATGAATTATATTGACGATCGAAAATAAGCATAATTGGACGCTCTATAGAGCATTATTAACGAGTCGCCATGCAAATAACTTCTTTTGGTAATTGGCTGTTCACGATCGGGTTAATCCTTCAACGGTCGTTTAATTTTAAATATTGCTAGTATATTAAAATTTTTAGAATGGATTTGCCAGCTTTAGAAATAGAAAGTCAATGAGTAATTTTGATAAACCTGCATCATTATGGATACGAAATCTAAACCTTCGCCAAATTTCAACTCCGATAATTTCCTGTATACTTTTCGCAAAGAATCAAATCAACCAGTGATCAAGAACTCAACGAAGCCTACAAAGGGACAACATATAGAAACTGTGTATATTATTTTGCAAGATACGAATGATCGAAATGATGATTCATTTCAAAATAAGAAACATGATAAAACGCCGAATGATATCGGGAAACCTGAAATGGGTAAGTAAATTAGTCGTAGACCACATTTAAATCCTAAGAGGAACCCAGACAGAAGCAGCGTTAGTAAAGTAAAGCTTAGCAAATTAAGCCTTAAAGGTCATGACAGTTTTCTGGGTGTAATCTTTTGGCGCAAAATTTGACAAGCGGTAACCGGTAATGGATATTTAGTTTATTATTTACCCAAAAACCAGCGTAACGTACTGAAGCGACCAATCTTATACAAGATAGGAAGATAGATAAGAAAAAATGACTCTGCATATAGACAGTACAGTAAAATTTAATCCTGACTTTTCACGTATAAATGAAGTTTATCGAATCTTAAAGCATGTAATTTGTCAACAACTGTAGTTTGAAATTAAACTATTTGTGATAGTTACTCGACTGTTGATATCATAAGGCTCGTATGCAGCATGTCTAATTGATTCAAGTTGGATTAGTTCTCCTAAAATGGATTTATACGGTATTTAAAATTAAGTAAATCGAACAAAGAATTAATGATACTGGTTAAATTTTGCCATAAAATAAATTGATGTTCAGCATAGCAACAGTTAATTTTCTGTTCGTATTCAAGTATAATTGGCATTATAAAGAATTTAGCTACCAATAGCATTATAAGCAACAGATATTTTTAATTGTGCTGCATTTAAAGTTTTTTCAAGCGCCTGCGCTTTTAAAAACAGTGAAACTATGATATTTACTTTTAATGTTTCATCACTTGCAAATCTAATAGAAATGATAATGTACTAATATTGTCAGCAAATCACGTTATATTCATCCCAACTGCTGTTACAGATTAAGTAATCTAATAAAATTTAAACAATTGTCAAACTAACTTTAACATTTTTCAAAATTGTAAATTTCACATTTTAAACATGTAATTCTTTAACCTAAAGTTACTGCAACTCTAGAAATACAGGAAAGAAGCGATAATTGCCATCTTATGAAAGAAAATAACCTAAACGGTAACTGTATACTTACTTCCAACGGACTATTTTACTTAAAATTAAGCAATGAATTGATTTATTGGCTGGCCGTTAATGACGAGTCAATCACAGGATAACTTAAAACAGCTATTTATAAAAATATAAATTTATTAAATTTAGCAATTACTTACATGGCAATAAGACTTACAACGGAAATACTATATTTTTTAGGAACCAATTGGAAGTCAATTTTACCAAATTGCGATATTAACGAAATAATAAGTAAATTTTTGCTCAAATCTTTGTCGGACCCAGACATATTCAAGGAAGTAAAGAAATATATACAAAGCAATTTGTTGCTTTCTGCGAGAGAGAAAAGTCTCTCTTTGAATATTTCATCTCAAGAAAGAGATGAAAAACACATGGTGATGTTACTAAAATGCATGGCCCAGCTAAAGTTTTATGAATTGGCTTCTGCTTTATCTGCCAGTTCCCTAGAGAAGATCAAAGCTATCGGCCAACAATTGTACCGTTGCGCAACATCAAGACTTAAAGAACGACCAGAAGGTATAGCTGATAATTACTTATTGCTTACTATAATTTTATTCTGCAATCTATCAATTTTAGACCATTAGATGTAATAAATTATCTTTCTCTTGATATAGCCTGAATAAAAAGATTTAATCTTTCATACGTGTATATATATATAATTACCTCATTTATTACATTATAGTCATGACTCAATACCCATCTGAAAAATTTTTGTGTAAAGCCAATGAAAATAACATCATCAAAATGGAGTCCTTGCCTGGCTTTGAGCTAAAAATTCCTGTAGAATGTTTAGCGAGAGATACAGAAATTACTATAACCGTTTATTTTGCAGATCCACCGTACAACTATGGTATTCAAAATATTAAAGCAACACTGCTATCACCAATTATTAGAATTGAGCCTGATCGTTTAGAATTGATTAAGAACTCGCAATATCCGACTTTACAATTGCCTTTCTTTCATGGAATGGAATCGAAACCATCTAGTTTGATAGATGATGAAGAAAAAAACTTGATACAATTGTTTTCTGGCAAGAATCTGTATGCAAAATGGTCAACAGATGATGATATTGGAAATCCTTTAAAAAGGACAGAAAAAGCGTGTGTTTTCCAAATTGATCATTTTGCCTACTTTTGTGCTGGAATAAATCATTCTGAGCGGCCATCTAAGAACTTCAGTGCAAAAAGTCCACAATTTCTTAGTCTTCGCTTACAGCAGCAGATTGACTTCAGAGTGTTTCTATCGGTAACTGGCAAAGGCTCAGCTTTCATTGAAATTGTTATTACGCAAAAAGGTATTCCATATGAACCAAAGCGGTATAAATCTGTTAAGCAGCATGAATTATTTAATGATTTGGAAGATGTTACTTGCTTGAAGAACGGTTACTATCAAATTAAATTTCTCTCGAGCTATCTAATTCATAACTCAGTTGATTCAAAAGATAGCATCAAAGATATTTACATTAACTGGAATGCGAGAAATATTTATTCAGTCACATACCGATGTCAACTGTCTGATGATGAGCCAGCAGAACTTTGTCAAATAATCATACAATGTGAAGGGAAAAACGGGAAACCGACAGAAGTTATTTCAAGTTTTATATTTTTAGTAAGTTAAAATATTAATAGACCCTATCAGATAATCAATATTTCACCCATATTTTCCAACTTACATTTCATAAATCGTTTGTAAATTTCTGATTTATTTGATTTTAACAGCCAAATGGTGTAAATGAAGAGAACTTGAGAGAGTCGTTCGTCGAAGGTAATTTTATAATTAGCTTTGAACCATTAACAGATTAATTTGTTATTGGCGAAACATAAATTATTTCATCGTACATAGTTTACTAAACATTTACTTATTTTGTGCTATTGAGCGATAGAAATGATGTTCTAAGTCATTTGCTTACGAAGAATATTACTAATATTATCATTATGATGCGATTAAAGTTACTACAATGTATTAGTATTCGCATATTTTCATTAGAAAATATTATAAGCTATGATTCAATCAATTCGCATCAATTAACTTTTAAACATATTCTCAATATTAAAAGTCGCTTCCGTACATAATTCAGCGAACATAATTCTCAAAGTAATTTGTATGGACTGATCGATTATAGTTTTGTATTGAGATAAAGTAGTTGTGAGTAATCTAAACTTATAACAGAAATCGATTAGACTGCTAAAGATAAACTGTTTTGGTTAGGCATGAATACGCAGATATTGCAAGGATGATGATAAACCAAAGTCTCCGATCGTTGGTTTAGAATAAGCGTAAAATGGTTCAAATTTATGCCGAAATTTTGCACTTGGTATTTAACGGTTAGCGTGGTAAAGATAAAGCTATCTTCCACCTCTTGCAAGTTTCTAAGTGGACGGCAATAAAGTCTATGTCGCTTGAATATTTAATAATGCATCATTTACATTCTTCGTATCATCATAAAATCTTCAGTTTTGACTCACAAAAGTTGCTACATTTACGTTGCGTACGATTATAGTATTTCTAAAATCTGAGACTTTTTTAATTATAATATAAGTTACATAATTTTTTAAAACTCGAAAAACGTATAAGCTACGATGTCGGCTTTTAATTGCAATTTTCTTTTAAACAAGGTTAGTAGGATTAACGAGTTACGCTTAGAGCTAACTTCTTGTTACGCTTAACTATTAAGTACCACTATAATTACTCACCGTCTCTATGTAGAAAATTATATTCATTTGAAGATATCATGGATGATCAGAACCGCTTTTTCAAAATTATCTATATTTATATCTATATCTATTAAAATTATTTGGTTCGCTTTTTATCTGTGTGTTTGTGTGTCGGCAATCTCTCGCATCTGATTGGTTGGCTGTTTGAGTGTACACTGTACAGTATTTTATTATCAACAACGTATGGAACATACTATAAAAGTTGCAGTTTTTGAGCCCGGATATTTGTGTAGAGAATGCGTGCAAATACTCCGTACTTACTGTCAATCAATATAGTAGTAGTAGAATACAGTACATGCTGCTCAAAATATTGCAACGACCAGCATATGAACACATAGGTGAATGAATGTTGAATACGGATTTCTTTGCAAATTACCAAATACAGTTTGCAAAAATACGCTGTCAATATATTACAAAACGAAGGATTAGACTTCGCGTAGAGATGATGTCGTACTGGAACTTTATAAGGCATCTCATCTGTGTGCATGATATGTCTTGCAGGTTAGGCTACGTTCAAGTGTAACCGCAATTGTAAAATTTGATAGCTGAATGTGAACAAATAGTGAACCGCGAACTGTGTTCGCGGGCTTACCCTAGTTATTGTAGAAAATCATTATAGTCAGTATTAGACGTTCATCTTTATATGTTTAACTGATTTTATGTTTCAATATTTTGATATTTTTACAATCTTTGTAAAAGCGGTAAAAATAGCGTAATTAACGCAAATACTTAAGAACCTTTTTTCATTTTATTAAACAAATAAAACATAATCTGAGCATTTATCCACGCTATGAAATGAAATTCATCTACGAATATATTGGAGCAACATGCTATCGCTAGAAATTCAAACGCATAGGAAGTCAGAACGATGATAGGAATAAAGTAAAGTTTAATATGACCAGTTATTTCGATGTGATTCATGATGCAATGATTTTGTATCTCCAGTTATGGATAACCTAAACGCGTTAACTAATTCAGTAATTGCATCAAATAGACTCGGGACACAGTTAAAATTACTACTTATTGCGAGTTTGTAATTAGTTATTGCACAGTACGAACTACCGTGAAGAGTGAATGGCTAAATTTAGTGGTTAACATTTATATACGGACATAACTAATAATGACATACAGTAATAACTACGGTAGTTATTATTTTGTTACAATAAATTACGCTGCACTGTAGTAAGAGTTCTTATACGGTAACTAATGTTAATTGATTATAGTGTTATGTCTTGTAACGTTTATGATGAATATCCTGAAGATATTCAATTATAGGTGATACTATAAATAATTCTTTGTATGGATATTCTATAATCGAATTATGTAGAATCGCTCAGGACATGTCTAAGATCATAAATAATTTCTGTATTAATTAAGCTATTCAATATGAACCATATTTCGTGAACTATTATGAATCATACATGATAGCTGCTGCCAAAGAGTACTGTATTTAAGCTCAGCAGATAGTAGGATGAAAGGAGAGTCCTATAGTTGTTTAACATAGAAGCAAAGGCGTCTAAATTTTTTGTGAGATAATTAAGGGATACTGAATCCCGGAGACAATAATAATTTAAAAATTTTTACGTTATCTTTGCCTCGAAGCTGGTTTGTCAAGGTTATACTTATCATTAACGAATCCAACAACTTTAATTCTTGCTATTAGATACCCATATCTGCACGTAAATGGCTACCAGTACCCATATAGTATGGCTTGCTTATTTGCTGAATAAAATATGACAATCGGTAAATTGAGACTTCTTCAGTAATAGCCCAAGGTTCTTTATTGCAAAAAGAAGAACTTAATTTCAACAACATGCAAAAGATTATTCAATTATTCACATTTGCATGCTACTATACTTTTGATATATTTCAATTTCAAAACTAAACTTGCAATATTTTGTTTCCCTCATCGTTTCTTAACTTATTCATTTAAAGTCAATTCAACAGAGGATTTGCATAACACCTTATAAATATACAATGGCAATCTTTAATTGCAGTGTTATAATAATCTAAGGATATATTTTTGAAATAACACTCAAATACAATACTGAAAAGGAAATATTGCGGCAATTTTTAAAAAATATCAAACTGTATCTAACTCATATCGTATATTTTTGTTTAGGTTTTATTCGATGCCAATTAACTTCCTAGCGTTAATCCTACACGCTGTTGATAGCATCGCAGTAAATCATCGAAATTTTTGAAAATAAAATATTACTGTCACTATTATAATTTATTTGACTAGAAAAAGGTAACTTTGATGTCGTAACATTTTTTAATCACATAGCTTTTGTCTAGATTTGAATGATAAGACAACGATGTTAGACAATAAGTTATGGAATTTGCAAGTACAGAACAATTAGTGCGCTTCGTCGACTATTTATTAGGACTATGCCATTGAGATGTTAACTTTCAAGAATAATCCATGCAATAGCAATAGGTTAGACGTGATACAATGATGATCGGGGAAAAATTGGTTGTGAATCAATCTTTTGTCCGCCTATTAATCAAATGAATAGTCAAAATAATGAAGATAAATCATTTTTGCGAGTCGCCGGTTTCCGTACAACTGCTTGTATTACGAGTATGTAATAGCAGCGTATTTAGTTATGCTAGCTTATAGTATCGAAAGCGCAGTAGTAGAAGCTTACTGTTTACTGGGAAAGTTACGATAATTTTGTAAACTAAACGATGTCAATTGAATGAAATGGATTGGATAGCACTATGATATGGATAAACTTTCAATGATTACGATAAAATGGAATTAACTATGAATCAGTCAGCCTCAGAAAAGATAATTCTGATAAAATCGATGCGGCAAAATGGTCAATTATATTACAACGCAAGGGACTATCTAGCAGCCAAATCTTTTTTAGAACAAGGATTACAATTAACTAAATCAGCAGAGGAGAATCAAAGATCAGCAGAATTTACTCTGATTAAAAAAGATCTGCTTCTTTTTATAGCAACAGTTTGTATCATTATAGGAGACTACCAGAAAGCAACAGATTGTATTCAGGAGGTCAAAGAAATTAGCGAGAAAGAGGGCGATGGAGTTTTTCTGGCCCGATGCCATGATAGGGAAGCAGAAATAAAGAAAGCTTTCCGGGAATACGATAGAGCATTAGCATTAGCTAATAAATCGCTACAAATAAAATGTAGTATACTTTGTCCTAGGAATAGCCTCGATGTTGCTGATTCTTATACTCTGATTGGATACATTCATTATGATAAAGAAGAGTACAGTAAAGCTCTTGCTGCTCATCATGCAGCTTTAGATATAAGACTTAAGGCCCGAAAGGAAGACAGTCGTAAAGTAGCAAAGTCGCTTGAAAATCTTGGTAAAATCTACTTTAAGGTATTAAAGTATGATGACGCCATGGAGATGTGCCAAAGTTCAGTCAAGATATTATTGGCATCAACTGATCATAATTACTATGATATAATTGATGTTTATAACTGCATAGCAGATATCCATATTTGCCGTTTGAAATATAATCTAGCTATTGAAACGTATCAGAAAATTTTGAAGAACTATACGTCAACCTTAGGCGATAGTCATCCTATCGTACAATGCTACATGCGCAAAATAGCAAAATTTTTTCATGAATTTGGCCGTAATATCGATATCCAGCTAACCAGTAATCAAATATTATTGGAGACCCAAGATTTGCAACAAAAAGATATCGCTATCGTTGACGATTTAGCTTTGGAAGGTGGAGAAAAAGTGTCGGCGAATCCTATAGCAGGTAAATTTTTTAATTCGACGCCATGTAATAATTTTCATAGATAATGTTGATCTACTGATAATAAAAACACTATAACGTAAAGAAACTACCATAACTTATTTCTTACGATCTTGAAAGCATGGAAATGTTATTAAAATGTAATGCTTTAGATTTGAGTGATTATCCAAACAAGCAAAACAACCGTAACTTTCGAGACGACTTAGATTCTTATTATCTGCTGCTTGGGCGTATTCCAATTTATACGATTACTTGTCGCGATTTAGTATCTAGTTGACAATATTTTGTGCTATTGTACTATATGGAATACTAATTTTGGTAGCGAACTATCCAAATTAATAAACGATAATATTGCCATTTTGATCAATTTCAACAGAGGAGACAGATACTCCGCAAACAACTTATAATTGCCAAGCAAAGGAATATTCTTGCGTTACTTTGAAGGGATTACCAGAAGTAAAACTTACAATTCCTAAAAACTGTTTACTTAGTGACACATTAGTGACAATTAAAGCTTCCCACACTGATCCTCCGTTCATTTTATCGTCTAATCGATTGAAATTAAAGTTTGTGTCACCAGTTATTCTAATTGAGCCAAGCGGTTTGCAGCTTAATACACCTGACAATCAATTACCAACATTACAACTACCCGTTGTAAAGGAAAATATTTCGGACGGGAAACATGCAGAAGACGAACAAGTTGTCTGTTTATTTTATCAAAATGGTGAGACTTTGGAATGGAAGAAGGATGAAAGCAACAGAAGTCATGATTGGATTAAGCGCGGTGAAGATAGAAGTGCAATTTTCCATATAAGCCAATTTACAGCTTTCGGTGCTGTAGCCTCTCCTTCTCAGGCGTCAGCTCTTACTTTACAAGCCTATTTCGTAAGAACTGATACACCAATTTTTTTTTTGTGGCTTAAAATCGCTCTCAAAGGGCATGAAATTTCACCCGATGAAAAGCGGTATAAAAATTGGACGTTTGAAAAACTGGTCACTGACGTGGATGAAGAATTTAAACTTCCTAATGGAAGTTATCGGCTTAAGTTTACATCTGACTATTTAGATCATTCTCCCCTGACAGGTGATTCTAATGTTGGGCACTTCACATGGGATAATAGCTGCCTAGAGAGTCGCTTCGTTAGGTTCCGATGCCAAATATTGGAATCAGAGTTTAAGCCACCAGAATTATGTAAAGTAACTCTGATGGATACCGATAAAGAAATTGTGTCTAGTTATCTAATTCAAGTAAGTCATGATACGAGTATAGCCCTTACTGCTTATAAATCCTTGGCAATCGCTATCATTTTTTTTAATTTTCACTCGTACCAATAACTTATCAATCTATTAAATAGATAAAATAAAATTTTACAGCATTCGTAGACTGTACTATAGCAATATTGAAAGTGGAAAATTTTTGTTGATAATTTCTGATGAGATCAAATACTTTCCAGCGATAGTAAATACTGTATACGATGGTTTTTTACTAGTTTACCTTTAAATAAAATAGAAGAAAATAATATTGTTCTTATATACCATAGCAATACAAATAGTCGCTCCTTTATATTAGTCTGCTATAAATCGCCTTTGAAAGCAGAAAATTGTAGCTATGAACCTGTTATCATTAATAATAATGACGACTTCCTATCGCTATTAAATTATATTGAACCACTAGACTGTCTTTGCATAACTGATCCAAACTTTGTTACGTAGTCCGACAGTTTATTTTGAAGTTACAACAGCATTAGTTTATCATTAAGTAGATAGTATCATATAACTATGCATAATATCATAGTAAACGTTATTGTTAACAAATACCACTGCATGTTCTTTAATGAGTATGACAAAACTTTTTATCTACGAGAATCACTTGGTGACATACGCGTATTATTATATCGAAAAATAATGCTTTAATGTTAAAAGTGGCAAATGTGCTAATTGACTGAATAAATCATTTATCCTTTCTTAATGTATCAATTATAGAATAAACGCTAACAATATGATGAAGGTAAAGGCATAAGGCTAACCGGTAAGGCAACTTAAATTGGATTTATGTGCTGTTGAGTTATTACTAATTAACTTTATGCTGTCATAGCTATTTTAATTTATGCTTTTTGCTCTGTAGCTTATAGTAGCTAACATGTAACAAGCGATGACAATTGATAAAACCATAATTTACGACATTATGAGTTTTGTAACATAAAAATATAAGTACTAAATTAGAGTTTTCTTCATTAGCGTGAAGTCAATACTGTGTTCTATTATGAACATCAATTATTTGTGCCTCTGCAAGTACAAAACAAGGGCAATAAGATTATTGGCTGCATTCCATAAATACATAATCGTCGATAATTTATTATCGTAATAATAGCATCTTAACTAAGTCAATGGCTTACAATGCCAAAAATAGAGCTTCATTTTGATAATTGTTTCCTTTATTTCTTGATCTTACCGATTATATTAATTCCGGGAAAGTGCGTAATTGTGTACCTGTCACAACATTGAGTGCTACCTAATTGATTTTCCCACGGTATAACCTTCGATGATTGGTGGAATTACTACATGATTTGACATATTATGGAGGCTGAAACTCCAACCAACAGTTACCTTGGACCTATTTTTAGATTTACGTATATATTTGACACTCTAGCTGAAATGATATACAGTAAATCGTAGTACTGTACAGTATACTAACTCACTATGATTAAAAGTCAAATAGAGTAGAAATATAACGTATTACACCAATGAAATTGCTAATCAAAGTTCAGCATAGGTAATTCTGAAATACTTACGATATTTCACGCCAATTAATCCATTTTTAATGTACACTATACAATTATGTCCTGTTTTATTTAATCGATTTGTCATTAACAATCACGAATTGATCAGAGCTCTCTTCTTCATTATACGTATATTAGTAGCTGTAGATATTAATTTTCCTTGATGTCAGACATTAACGTACTTACTATCATGTTTAGTTCTACTATTTCTTCTTTTGCTTTACATAATTTGGGAGGGAACACGAACTGCAGGTAATCATCATGCGTATTGAATAAGTATAGTAATATAACCCGTCTTTGAGTTTTATTGCATAATTGACAAAATGGTCTATCAATGTAAAGTATTGTAATAGATAGCATTCTTTGGTTCATACGCTTATCATGAAATAATACTATCGAAGATATGAACCACCCCTAAAATATTATTATCAGTAGTGTATTACCCAAATTTCCTAATAGTTTAAAATTTCTATTTCAAGATTCTATCAATTATTGTTATGCCAAAACGGATTAAGTATTTTAATGCTATTCCTTTTCGCACTAAGAATTGTAGAGAATCTATCTTGTTGGAGTTGGATTTCTTAATCGCATTCTTTTCACATATTTCATTAGGAACGACCCACTATTTTTGATTAATTTCAAATCCAATATAATGCACTAAAGAGCTACGCATGCTTTGTAAGACAATACATAATCATTTTCCTTCATCAGCAATGATTCATCAGCTAATTTGTGAATAATAATCATCTGAGTCTTTGTCTTTATTAATCAGTAATAAATAGGCTTGCTGTTACTTTTATTGAAAAGTATGGGCAGTATAGACAGCAAAGAACTCTTTTTCAGTTACGGCATATTTATTCATAGACATTTAGCTTCTAAAGTATTCTTTATAGATATAATTACCGCCAATATCAATGATAATTACTGTGATGATCAACTGTTAGTCAACAACAGCATACATTCCACGGTTCTGTTTCTTATATTTTATGTATTTGGCCTAGCATGATAAATCGTTAGATTTTATTCCAAATTGTCTCGTAAAATTATTTTAGAGCGGATTTTGCGATTGAAAAGTAGGCTGTATAGCAGTTTATCATAATGTAAATTTCTAAGGCATTTTACATTACTTCGATGGGCTTTTTGTAAATAATAAAATTTATTGACAAGTATGTAACATCATGCGACACTTCATAATGAATAGTGACTTACTTTTCAGTTAATTTATTTATAAGTAAAATTATGAAGTAATGATTTATTTTCCAGTTAAGGCTACTGTACTTTTTTTCTATACACCAGGTGCTATATGTTAATCGGGATAAACAACTATAATACAGACACATACCCAAAAACGTCATCGATTTATCAATTCTTATCGTCAATTTCTAATTTATAGCTGCTTTTAAAAGTCGTTTGTATCGTTTATATGCGAATAATTAATCAGCCTTAACTATTTCATTGCCGCAAACTAATCATAGCACCAGAAACAACAGTTTTTACAACTTGTTATACTGCATTATAATCGATTACTAAATTGTATAGTTTTGTAGAATTAGCACCAACACACTAGCAAAATTAGGATATATAAATAATTACAACTTTAGACAGATCGAAAATCATGACTTGATTATGAATAAGAAAGGTCTAAATTTCAGTAATATTTTATCATGTCACATGATTGAACCTTCCCGAATTACATAATTTTTGTATGATACACGCATCTGTACACCATCTGTCTTACTGAACAAATTAGATTAAATTTTTTAGATGAATTCTTTACATACCGGTAACTATTATTTTCGTATTAGAAACTATAAATTGCGAATGTAACCAATCGTGATAGAAATAGTGAAGCATAACTTTACTCCAAAATTAATAGAAGATATTTTATATCAAATAAAGTAATCTTTACCGATAGAACTAAATTGGAATACCATGACATACTTACTAGTTTCTTAAGTGAAGTTGATCTTATTGTGACTTTGTATCATTAACAGATTGGCAAATCTAGAAATGATAAATTAACGAAACAGACCACAGTTAAATCACTTTAACGCCATTCAATTACAAAACGTGCAACAACTATAGGAAAGGAAAGGAATTGTATTCATTTCAAAAATTACTTGCAAGACTTAAATACAGGTATTATTATTGATTTATTCTATTGTTACTCATTAATTCCGAATAAAATTACACACTATCAGCTATCTCATTATTTTTATTAATTTACAATAATTGAATACTAACAATTTTATTAACGGCTGACAACTATCAATTAAATATGTAATGATATGGAAAAAAAATTGATGATATTTCATTATTTAGATTGAATACGCATGTATTCAAGAATTTGATCCCAATATTAAGATAATAAAGCCTAGACAAACAATATAAGAGCTTTTAGGTTATTTCAATAAATGACTGATTAAAGCTATTATAATAGATTATTATAGCTTTGATTTATTTTTATTCTATTTCTAGTTATTCTACTTAACCTTTTTGATAAAGTGAATGGAGGTTTGGAACGGTTCCAAAGGAATTTCTGCAAATTTTTCTTTCCAACTCAATATTCTTCCCCTAAATTCTTGGCAATTTTAACCTAATGAAAAAGTATACAAAACACTTTATCTAACGTATATTATGCACTTAAATTCGATTAACACTATAACGATAAAATAACTATCAAATTGTCCATCAGTTTTAGCATGCAACGCAAAGCGTGTTACAAAATTTCCGATTGGATATGTATAATTATTATAGAAGCTTATTGAATTCTCTCTCATTCTCTATTCTGATATAAAACGTAGTAGATAAATCAACTGAATCATTACTATGAAATAGCCTGTGTAATATTATCTTCTTTAAGTAGCGTAAAGTATTTTAAGGTAGACGATGATAGAAGGTATAAAGGATTTTATTGAGATACAAGTTACAGGCTAACAATGATATGGTTGTTATAGGTAAGGTATTTGAGATAGCAGGAATGTAGGAACTGACTAACGAGTTAGCGTACAAGGGTATTTATAGGTTTTAGATGGGATTGAGATAATGTCTTTATATGTATAGCATGTCGTCTATATGTGGTCATGATGTCGTACATTATGAATGTAATACAATACAGTACTTAAACGGTATATGATAAGTATTCGTATGTTAGGATATTACTATACTAGGCATCTTCTATATAAGATCATAATGTTACAGCCTGCAATAACTAATTAATGATCTCTTAGAAGCATTATTAATGGCTATTGCTTAAATAATAATACTTCAAATCTTAGAAATATTAAATTAAGTTAGTCAAATTATGACACCACATATTGCATACAGTAATCTACGGTACTATGTTTTTGTAGTGCAGCCCCAAATATAGCTTGCATTGTGATTGTAAGACCGTACAAGAGTAGTAGTACTCCTACGTTAGATTGTATGATTTTGAAGATATCTATTTGTAGAAGAGGTTTACAATGCGTATTGTCTTCATGTTATTGAGATGTTCACATTAAGATTTTATGATATGAATAGATAAGACTAATTATGTTAGTACTGGGAAAGTTGCATTGTGGCGCTTTAATTAGACGCGTGAATAATGAATAGCTTGCGAGATGATGAACTGTTATCTTGCGACTTAATTTATCAAGATATGATTGTAAGGTGTAAAATTCATTCTGTCATAAAGGATATACAAACCGCGAGCTTTCGCTGTAAATTATAGTCCTATTGAAGCTAGATAGTTCTTAGTAGTTGTAAGATGAACCTGATCTATGGAATAAAGTGAGTTTACTAGAGACTGAAGTTTTTTTTATTAATAAGAAGATCACTTATTACAGTTCTTCTTTTGAATCGGCCCAAATAATGAGCTAAAAAATCAAGTTGGTTGGTCACACGATAAACAAGCCCAAGTATAATATACTAAATTAATAGATAAATTCTTCAGATTTACGTGAATTTTGTATGTCTGTTTCAAAATTTGCTGCTGTGTATGAACAAGCTCTTCGATGCACTTTTCTAGCTCTGTTCGACGTAAGTTGGTGATAATTTTAGATTAGCTCAAAAAGGATTTACTTGACTAGACATTAATTCAGATACATTTCACAATTTCTTATTATTAATTCATGCGTAATTTAATTTCTTTTAGAAAACACAGTAATCATAAAATATTAAGTATTATACGTAAGTCAAATTGAAGACAAAAATGTAATTTTCTGTTATTTCCCTCCTTAAATTGCAATATTTTATCTATTGTGATAAATTTTAGATAAATTTTTCAATTTCTTGACAAGGCACAACTCTCATTTCGTAATTTAAAAATTAGAATATTTAAAATAATTATTCACTACATACTGCATGATTAAATTCCTATGATATGTGATAATCTAGAAGTTTCCACAAACGGTCATATGAACGCTTTAAATTATCAATGATCTTGTTCTGCCTTTGTAAAAGCAGATTAGAACATGAAAATATTTTGATTGTTACCGTACCTACATTCAAAGCACTGCAATAAAGGTGATAAAAAATATAGCATCTAAATTTCCTGCATTATTTGATTCTGTTTAACTATTTTTGTTTAGTACAGTAAATATCAACAAGGTACAAATCAAGTAGTCGGATGATATGCAAATACATAAACAAAATTTAAATGATATTTAATTGTGACTGTAGCTATTTTTACTTCCAAAATTACTTTAAAATCTTCTAAAGTTATGAAATTTTGAAGCATTCATTTTCAAAAACGCATAAAGTATATAAGCGTCAAGTTGAACGACAATATAATACCAATATTTGCTATAATTTTACTTAAATTACTGCACATTTTGAAATTTCAAGAAATTATCTCAATGCTTATTTATTAGTGTACTTTCTATGATTGTTTCATGAAATTCATCAGAGAATGACATGGGCACTATGCATCATCAGCAAGGCTAAGAACCCAAAATTTCAATGCTGTAAATCAGTCCTTCAATAAACTCAGGTTATGTGATATAAGAGTATAGCAACGTTACATTGCAATAATATTGCTTTTTGAGCAATGAAACAATATGAACGAAGTATGATGATGTGACCATAATAAGGATTCAGCATTATTTGTGAAACTGTTTAACATAAGAATTGTCAAGTTTTTTACCATAATTTCTATGTTGTTTACTTTTCGATAAACTAACTAAAAGTATCTACAGAACGATACATTAAATTTTGATGCCCCATGATAACTTAAATTGCTTCCTATCCACTAAATATTTACATTTAGAAGTGGCCAAATGTAAATAAATCTAGCTCAATTTTTAACAATTTTAATATCTTTACAGATCTGTCTGAAAAAAGAACTAGTTTCTCTACTTTATTTCCAGTGAGCAACTCTTTAAAATTTCATCTGTTTTTCTAATATGCGCGTAGCGGCAAATAAAATTTAATCTATTGGCATATTTTACAATTTCAGCTTAGAATCAATTATTAGATTTTATCAGATATATTAAGATAGTTACGCAAATTATCATATCACAGAAATATTATTGATAGATTTAGTGTTTCCTATACGCAAGTATTCAGATATTATAAAGGAGTGTTTTATCCGTATTATTACAAGTTATGAATATTGCAGATTCGGTTAAACTTTAGTTTTATAACTGGTGTACCTGACAAAATAGTTGCAATTCAACTTCGTCAACTAAAAATTTTCAAAGTTCTAAAGAAAGTCTGATAAACTATCGTGGTGATCATAATTTCTAGTTATGCAAGTTTCATTAGTATTACCGTAAGATAAAAGTATTTCAGAGCTATTCTAAGTTATCTTGAATCTAATTTTTACAAAACAATAGTGATATTAGACGAGAAGAACTAAGTTAAGCTACCGACACTTGAGGTTCAAAACAAAATACATTAGAGAAAGATACCAGATTATTATAATTTTTAACTAAAATTTTTGTAAGAGCAATACAAATATGGGCCCAATCAAGCAAGCTATCAATTAATAAGATAACTCATGATTATCCTAGATTTTTTTCTTATCTTCCCTTTCTAAGATTTCACTAAACTATCGAATTATGCCATCTACTATACTAGTATGTTACGCAGACTTGTTGGTGGTGTTAGAGCATCCATCTATCATTCTTAGGTACTCCAAATTAAGCTAGCAATCAAATTCACAAAATAAGTTAAATTATACCCTAGATTCCCGAAAGATATTTAGTTAATATAAATACAGTTTAGCTTGGAACTGTATATTGCTACAGTATACATTAAGACAAAATAACAAAGTGAAATTAGAACCCAGATCAATGGTTTGGGTTCATACTGAATGAAATTACAAAGTAACATTAACTTCTCTGTAATCAATGATCAAAGTAGCCATACATATTCTATTAACTAAAGACATCTATTAAATTACAAGATCACTATATCTGATTCTTAACGAATATTGTACTACTGATTAATTATTTTAAATTCTAACCCGAACAAAGCAGTTGGGTTTACAATATGTTTAGATATTAAGTAGATGTACCGTTATAATCAGCCAAATAAGTCATGTATTTAAAGCTAGAATTCTTATCACGATAAAAAAACCTAAGTTAGAATAGTTACAATACAAAAACTTGAAGGAGAATTTTGGAAGTCAACCTTCTTAACCGTTATCTTCCTCAAGATAGAATTTAAAAATGACTGCTATTATTGAGTTAAAGAAGAACGCAGCAACCGTCAATAATTAATAAAAATCTACTCTAAAGTATCATAAACGCAAAAAAGCGAATTCTAATGGAAGCTCATCTGTGTTATTCTTGGTCGCTTTTCGTTTAATCGATTTACAGGTAGATGATTGCCTATTATTGACTTGAGTCATCAATCAAAAGACTTTTTCTCAAATAGGTAATTAATATAATTCACTGGTATGATTTAAGTTGCTTCAAATCATCAATCTTAAACCGGTATTCAACACGGAAAGCGTAAGGGTATCTTCATAGTACATGAAGTCACTTAGGTTTATTCATCGACTTAGCTAACTGGCTAATATTAAAATAAATAATTTCTAATATAGCAATTAATTAGCTATCATTCAATACTAGAATCTCGATAATATCTATGATTAAGGAATTTAACTTTTCTGAATATGGCTATCTATCCAATCAAACATGGGTTGCATCATTGCATATTGCCATGCATACGTCATCCTGCTTCATTCTCAGTTATAAATTTTTGGTGACGTAGTGGAATTATCTTCTTAGTTCATATTCTTCGATATATTAGCATCTTATCTATGTAATACCGTAGTCCTTATTCATAGTCATCTCGCCCTGGCATAACTTCGTATAAAATCTTATATTTTATCACCAAAATAAACTACAGAAATATTACATCTGGCAGGGTCATTCCATCCCGAGAATCGATATTATATTGTAATATTGCTTCATATTACCTGAAGTTGGAAAATTCGAATACATAAGCCACAGTTAAGGCTTATTAACTAAATTAATTATCGTCTTTACAATTTGTGCATAGTCATCAATAAATGATTCATAATATGATGAAATGATGACGTAATCAAAACGAGATTTAATGGGAAGATGCCTATACGATTATTATTTATAGATGTTTAAAGTATGAGTCTATCATCTTAACTCGATCCAAAGTAGCCAACAACAAAGTATTAGAAGAATTAATACTTAGTTTTATGATGAATTGAGCAGCGTTTTGCAGTTACTCAAAGATAAAAACTAAATTTTATTTATGTACTAACGGATTCATATAAATCATTGTCGTAACGACTAGAAACAGTTTCGAAATATCATAATATAGCAAAGCAATAGACTACAGCTAGAGTTAAACTCAAATCACAAGAGTTTCTTTTTATATTACTTCAGCGTGATTAAAAATAGTTATCCTCATAACAATGACATAATTCACTTGCCCGAAGATATAGGCTTAAAGAAAACTCTTATTCCAAGATTGTAAGCAGATTGTTGCAAGTTGAATGAAAAGCAACAGGTAGCTCTCCCTGTAACTAACATAATAGTAAATGACTATAGTATTGATCTAGGTAGGAAATTAAGAGTAGATTACTATTAAATTTTCTAAATTACCCGTATTGTTTTGATTTGCAACTACACGCCTAAAATTTAATTTTTGTTGTTTGCATCAAATAATACAAAGAAAGAAAAAAAGCCATTAATAAAGTCTATTATTCTAAGAAAGACACAGCGGCAATGTCTATTTGATTTCTTATATAGCTATTCTATTTATTACATCTTTGCGTAATGTGTAATCCATTACGATGTATATATTTATTATTCTAGAATCTATCGTTGTACTCTTTTATGAATAAATACATCTGGAAATTTCTCCCAATAATCAATAATAGCATTGATGACCGAAATTTTTAGCCTAGTTACAGCTCTGATTTGTTTTCACGTTCCATCTTAAGCTTCAATTGGGCTATTCTGAGTCCATTCGGTGCTATATTAAATAAGGAATGATTTATTATAAAAGGAAAATAAACTTCAAGGCGTTATTCGCTTAGCTATGGGTAATAAATCAACGAAATCTTTAATAATAGATGAGATTAATTCCCTCATCTTATCTGCAAATCAAAGTTACAATCAAGATATTGATCAACCGATTGAAATCTTGCCTGAAATCGAAAAGCTAGTCGATGCCGTCAAGATTTTAACTAATGAAACTCCGTACGATGATCATTTTTATTGTGATCTGTTTCTAATCTTAATCAACATCTATATCAAGCAGAAGAAATATCATCATGCTTGCTTCTGCTGTTTGAAAGCAGAACAAATAGCCAGAAAAATAAACTCCGGGAAACATATCGCTTTTTGCTTGAATAGGCAAGACGAAACAGCAAGGTTATCTGGTAATAACGGCCAGCATTAATTTATTTTAAGGATGAGTAGAAATCACTAATATTTATACCAATTAACAGAATTCAATTAATTTTTCATTAGGAGGCTTGAATCAAAAATGTCAATTAAATGGAAAAAACTGCCAAAGTATACATTGTAAGTAACTCCAAGCCAATCTATAAGTTTAATGCGTAAACCCAAGTGCAATATTTTAACCTCATATAATTTAACCAGCACAAAGAACGTTTTTTATCAATAAAGCTGAGTTCATTTCAGTTTTAATCTAAGAAAGAGAGATTTTTAGCTGTTGTTTTTAATTGGTGTTATAATAAATATGTTATACGTTAGTGACATCCTTTCTATTTGAAGATACTTCTAACGATTTGTTATCATCGAATCAAAAAACTATTTTATCAGATTGTCTTGTCGGTAAGATTCTTTTAGTGGTGTTAGAACGTATTCTATTTTGCGATTAGAGTGAATAAAAAAATCAAATTGCGTACGTTTGGACTTGTAATAATAATTTTAATTATTGATCATAAATAATCTGTCAATACAGTAAATCTTTAATTATCTTTTCGTATATTAGCTCAATTTCGTTTTATTCATATCACCTACAGGCAACAAGGAATTTTTGAAAGCTTGCATCAGGGCTTTGGGCAATGCTAAATTTTACAATAATCTGAATAGAATTAGCGTTATGAGTGCTAGATATACAAGTATTTGTACGCAATCTTTGATAGAAATGCTTAATATTTCTGCATATAGAATTGAAAAGCAACTAACTGGTGCTGCACATACGGGAATTAGCTTTACGGATGATGTTGCATGTAAATTGAACGATGATCAAGTATTTCTTTTTACCTTCGTGACATACACCTTGCTAAAGAATATTTTAGTTACAAAATTTGCTAAAAATACGTGCTGTGGTGAGGAAAGTAATGGAAATACTTTCTCAAAATCACGAACAAACGTTACTAAGGAGGAAGAATACGGACAAGTAAATAGAAATTATCAAAGTACCGAAACAATAACTACGCCCAAAATTAATGACTCATTCTCTAATTTTATAACACCATTCGAAAAATTAATTCGCCTTTATAGGCAAAATTCACAACTCAATGAGTCTCTTCAATCATACTTCACTTGGAATAATAATACTGCAAATAAACCTTCTCAGGCTATCAAATTTTGCAGTAATAATATCTCTGTGGCCCATTCTATTGCCTACTATCCGTTCATTCCTAAAAGCAACTTATATATTATTCCCTTAAATATGACTGATGCAATAAATGAGACTTTGCAAAATTGGCATTATTCATCAGAAAGAATCTCATATCTAGAAACTTTCAAGGAATGGCTGGTTACCATAATTGGTAAAGATACCTCTCAAAACCGGCTCAGCATAACTATGAACGAGCAAACTCAAGAATATTCGTTACCAATTATAATTTTGGTCGGTTTACACCAAGGCAAAATCCATGAAGAACAAACTTGTCAATTTGAGCAATTAATTCAAGGCTTATTAAAATCCTTACCTTTCTTAAAAAGTCATGTAGTCTCTTCAAAAATTATTTTCAATTCCAATCTTCAAGATAATCATTTGGATATCATTAATAATCGCCGACAGTGTAGAAATGAACTAATGGCTATGATAAGACAGTTTCTACAGTCTCTACCACTTTCTCAGGAAAACATACCGGCAAAATGGCTCTTCATGGGGCAAATATTACACGAAGCTGTTCAGAAGCATCACAACCAAGAATTATCAATAAATCTTTTTGATAATATAATGGGTTATTCAATTCATAAAATAATGAAAGTGGATGATATACGCCAACTATCGCGAGATATTGGATTATATGAAGATGAAAATTTCTTTCTTGATATGTTATCCTATTTAAATGATGCTGGCGACATTCTATATTGTCAAAATGAAGGAATTATTGTTACTGATCTTCAGTGGCTTGTAAACATAGCTGGTCATGCTTCAAAATGGTATCCACAGCGATATAAGGACATGGAATTTCATGACGAATTAGGCCAAATAAATTATTTGAAAAAAATAAACTGCGAATGGTTAAATAGCCTTGCTAGCCATTTTAACTTCGATGATATGGAGAGAAAAATGATCATTGATGTCTTAAAAATTTATGGCATTATATCCGAAATCAGTGATTCCGATAAGCAATATCAAGACAATCGTGGCTATTTTATTCCTTACGTACTACCTCAATATGTTGAAGAGGAACCTAATACAATAAAACCCTACGAAAAATCAGACTGGCTTCATGTAGGATATAATGTACAAGATCAAGTGCCTTATATTCCAGATAATCTTTTTCGAGATCTTATATCATCATGTCTCAAAGAATGGGGAAATCCATTAGTCCAGTTCTTCCATCGTTATGCTAAATATTTTTTTTTAAATAACCAATATTGTATTGTAGTCAAAAAAGAAAAATCCACCGTAGCAATGCAATATCAATATGAAATATTGGATAATTCTACATCAAAAAATACATTAGTTCATAATGTTAAAAATTTTATTGATAAGTTTAGTCCACATTCAGTCTTGCTAGAGGAATTGATATCAATTACAAATAAGAAAATGCCAAAATTCGAAAATATTCGTGGTCAATTTTACCTTAAATGCGATCTATGTCAGCGATTAAATGGTATAACCGACGTTCATCAACGTCTTGGTTATCAACAAATCAAATGCCAAGAATGTTACTCTCCCATGAGTTTTAAAGCTCTAGACGATTGGAATCTAGGGAACAAAGTAAATGTCAAGGGTATGCTATAAATTAAAATTTAAGAGTTTTTCTTTGAATTACTGTTATATCTAAGTGTAGCGTCCTTTAAATGACATCACTGAAAAGGTTAACGTAATTTTGAATTAAAGAATCGTGCAATAGGATTTTAATTGGCAGTTTGTTAATGTACTAGAAGTTAAGATGTGCCTTGATTGATTAAAGTAAACATTTAAAAGGAAAAGATCGCCAGCTAAACTAATGATCATGTGTACAGACTAAAGCTTGAGTATGCAATCGAATATAGTTGTAAGGAGATATCTTCATATTGTCATTTTTGAACAGAAGTACCTCATAATTAAAATTTTTAAGCCCTATAACTGATCAGCAAATAATACAGTAATTAAAACGATAAATACTATCAATAATTAACAGAAGCAGTTTTTTCGATATTCCACTAAACTTTCAATATGCAGAATTACAATATTTCCTAGCTTTTTTCATCTGCATTTAATTATAACAGTATATATCAACAAATGAGGTAAACTAACAAGCATTTCCATGAATCACTGGTAGAGTAGTAATTTTAAGCTTTAATTTTATCTAATTTTCTTATTTTTTTATTGTAACAACACGACTTAGACAATATTTGGGAGCTATCCCCGACACACAGTGATATCGATCAAATCATTGATGTAGTTAGTATTGACGATAATTGGAATAAATTTGTTCCTGCTGCATTATGGAATCCATTTACCAAGCAAATCTATGATTTGAATCAATCTATATCAATTGAGACTTCTATAGAAGAAGAAAGAAAACTCTACCTAACATATTTTCTAAAATGCTTAAACAAGAAAAGTTTTACTCTATTTTGTGATAGTTTACTAATGAATTCGTTAAAAGAAATTAGAAAAACTGGACATCAATTAGTTCAACTAGCAACGATAGCAATTACTCATCGAATAAGAGGCAAGTGGATGTACATGACATATCCGTTAATAAATGATCCGATGATATCATAAGCACAAATCAGAATGATCATAAAATATTTACCTAAACTTGAATTATCTTAGATTATTTTCTCAAAATTTCCGTAATAACTGGAACTAGTTTTGACGTTATCAAATTAAATTTGAGTATCCTGATTTGTTAATATTATGATAGAATGACATACAGAATGGTAACTGAAATTCTATGCTTTCTACTAGTACATCTCTAGCTTTTACTTTAAATACTTAAAAAATATAAAAGTTAGTATTCAATTTGTGCAACTATTAAAATATATCGATGATGTTCCAATTTCAGCTACCATGAAATGCTATCGTAAAAGCGTAAACTGCAAAGCCATGGAAGACAACTGTATTACCTTAAGTAATCTTCCAGGATTTGAATTCCATATCCCAGCTGATAGTTTAAAGGAAGATACTATTATTACTGTCAAATATTATTTCAGCGATACATTCTGTTATCATAACCATGAAAGCAAAACTGGCCAATTACTGCTACAAGTAGTTCAACTAGAGCCGAATGATTTGCTGATTAATGTCCGCAATGATAAGTCACCTAAATTAAAATTGCCTATTTTACAACCGCAGCAAGTTTATGATTCGAATGGTACCAAGGAATGTCCAGAAGTAACACTGCTTGACCAAAACATAGAAAGAAGCGGATATAGATTCGATTCTAAGGATTATAAACGAATTGAAACCAAACATGAGCAGCCTTGTATTGTTTTCTCCATCGAACAACTTTCAACATTTTACATTAAAAGTGATAATATTAATGTCTTGATTGACCAATCTATTTTTGATCAATCATTAGCAAAATTAATTAAGATCGATCTGCCTATACCATCTCTTTCTTTGCAATATCCTATTCAATTTCAAGCTCAATTAATTCAGTTAGCTTCCTCCTTTCTGTTCTTGAAGATAAGTATAACCAAGAAAGGAGTTCAGTCCAGACCTGAACAGAATTCTAGACTTAAATTGTATCAGTTAATCAATGATGCAAATGAAGAAATATTTCTACGTGGCGGCTACTACAAAGTAAAATTTATTAGTAGTCATTTAGTTCAGGACTCCATCGATTCAAATACAACCTGCATGAAAGATTTATTCCTTAACTGGCATACTAGTTTTGCGACCAGTATTATGTTTAAGTGTAAATTCACAGTAAGTGAAATTCCTCCACCGGAGCTCTGCCAGATAATTCTTCTCGAGTCTGATGAAAAGAATAACGTCAAAGAAGCCATGTCCTGCTATTTATTTTTGGTAAGGCTAAAACCGAATATAACTTTTCTTATATTACACGTAATATACCTGAAGTAAAATAAATCATTAAAATATACAATATTCTTAAACGGAAAGCCTGATGACGCCGAAGAACTTTTATAATCCAAAGCATCAACTCAGAGCGAATTGTATAAATTTAGGTAATAAATGCCTTTTTCCATTGAATTATTCGAAAAACTGTAAATTTTTCTGAATGCCATGCAGTTTTTATTATCCGTTTAAACCGTAAATTTCATAACTAGTAAAGACTTTAAAACTGAATTACGATAGGTCATATTTTAGCCAAATTACTAATCGATACAGCGAAATTAGACTAATACTTAATCTAAGTATCTTAATGCTTAGGCACATCATAAATATAATTTAATTAAAGAATTCATAGATAGTCAATTGGCATAGATCGGAGATATTTTCCATCCGTATTCATTAGCATATAATAACGAATTCATTACGTTTTGAAATAATATCTAGATTTTCAAAATTTTTTATCTTATCTAGCTATTGGAAGAAAAGCTTGGAAACTGAAATTTTAAATGAAGTCAAAAAACAACGAGACAATGACTTAGACTTATTAATTTCTTACAAGTATACAATGATAGGCAAAAAGGTAGGAATGCATATCATAGCTCCTTGACGAATTTGCCTGGTATGTCTATTTCATTGCGTAAGTTTATCTTAATATAAGAATGCCAGACAATTCTGGTATTCAATATTGTTTCCGCCTTCATTCAAGCCAACCACGATAAAAATAGTACAGTTAATGGCATCTCAATACAAGTTTGAGCTACTGTAATTGATGAATTTCAGCAACGATATGCGTAGTGTATGGCGTTTCTTACTTAATGATAATAGCTTGTTCGAAACTTATATGTTACTTTTACCAGCTCACTGATATGCATTAAGCATAAGCGGTTTTTATAAGCGGTTTAGATTAAATTGAAATTATTGGCCCACTTTTATAGGAAATTTATCTAAATTTTCATCATATCATCACTACCAAAATTAGTTCATACTTTAATAATAATATGTATGTTTATTTACAAGCATAAGTTTACACTCAATTTAGAATTTCGGTGAAAATAACTTTTATGACTCTATTTAAAAATATGAAAAAACTACCGAATCCACATGAGTACTTTCATAACATTTTGGGAGTATCCCCAGCGTCGCTGGTTTTCATTATTAAATATAGAATCGGTTACAAGTAATGGGCTTAGGCACATACAATCATTTTGATAGACGTTGATGTATGACATACTATCCTATTTGACTATTTTTAATCGTTGCTTAAAAAATTAATTTATGAAAATCAACACTTGAACCCTATTGATTCTGTTTACTGAATTTTATAATCGAATGAATAAAAGCGTTGAACGTGATTTTGGTAATTTGATCAAAATTATTCATCAAACTATCGCTAACATATAAGTACAATACAGTAACGACCACAGCATTCTTTAATCTATAACGTTATTCTTCCAACATTGGTGCCATTGGATTCTCAGAATAAAAGTATCTAAATTAGAAAGAAATTTATTAAAAAATCTCTATATAGAAAGAACATGCTACAACGCTGTGGTAAGAAAGTCTCAATAAGTAATTTTAAGCATTCACTGCCGATTTGTGAATATTTTTAATCTTAAAGAAATTTCAAATACAAACTTTGGTAAACAACCTACATCAGTAATTATGAGAACTTATATGTTCAAAGACTTCACTCTAGCTACCATAATTAAATTTAGAATCATGAGCTGTGTGACACTTTTCGTCTTGTGGGTTATAATTTGGTAAACGTATGTTTAAAAATAAGATAATGATAAATGTGACATCTATTACATTAAGCCAATTTCGAATATATTAGCAGAACATAAAGAGTTTAAGAGTTTAAAAGTTTTAAAACTATTCTAAACTTTTAGAAAAGTTTTATTCTTGTGTGAGCGCAAGTAGTACAAAACTACCGCACAGGAGAACTCAAGGTGTAGTGGAGTTAGGAATCAGTAATCTATTAATTTAGGGTAGAAGTTCGCAAGTTAAGTTTGCGACTATGAGATATGAGCTAATTTAAATAAAATGCCTAGTTATTTAAGCATTAAAAATAATTATAGTCGTATATTATATTGGGTTGACTAAACTATTTTGTATTTATCTAAAAAGGAGATTACAAAGTTACGCTTTTTGCGTTGTAGCTGAAATATCTCGTAATTTTCTTGACGAATAATAACGATTCTTTCGTTCAAAATGAGCATCAATATTATGATTGTGAACATAGAAAGCCTTTGTAAAAATAATTACATTATTCTTTTTGAATACTGCTGCATATAAAACGAACTGATTGTCTGCTAGTAAAAATTCTAATTTAACTTTGTCTATATGTAGCTAATATACCATATAAATCTGACATTGTTACACAAACTATACCATCTTTAATCGGTTTAGTAATACTACATATTTTAGTTTAGGTTTCTATCTCAAACTAAAAATATCTCATTGCAGTTTCAGCAAATACTTGCATAGCTGATCACGAGGTAGAAGATTTCTCTCGTGAATCATGCGTCATTAATACTTAATGGCATGTAGAGCAAATGAGTACTGTTGCCGTAATATCAGATATGTACTATAGTATTTCTTAGATGTTAGTTCATAATGTTAGATTGGTCACAGAAGCCATTATAATCCTGGTAATATGAGACTAAAATTATTATATTTAAAATGGTGGCATCTTGTTTTCTGAGCTTCAAATATTAACAACCACGCAAGATGATACGTTACAGACATATTGTACATGGCAAGTAATCTGACTCCCAAAATATACATCAACATTGGCTTATAGAACAAAATATAATCATACGTACAGTCAACGATTTACAGCTGTAGCATAAACACTAATATTAGTTAAAAAAAGTCGGTTCTACACTTTAGCTCTGGAGCAAAGATGTTACAAAGTACATAAGAAGTGCAAGGTTAGTATTTTTCCTAATTAATGTAGACTGTCATGAAGTCTTACATAAAGTCATATTTGAATATAGTATAATTTGTATCAGTATAAAGCAATCTAGTTAAGGAAAAGATAATGTAATTAACATCGGATTTTTCTCTATGCTTTAAGTTTCAAGTCACTAGAAATTAATTATCATTCCTTCTAAGCAGAATTGCTTCTAAAGCGTAATAAAAGGACAAAAATCAATCTACGTAAAATAGATTAATGCCAATATTTTCATTCGTGTCATTCATTGCTTTTAATACCGTGTGACTACTATTAACAGTATTTTGCGACTTGCTAAAGTTCCACCAGCCTACTTGCACGTGCTGGCCTGGAGTGTAGACATCAATGCGTACTCTTTACACGTAACTAACTTATTCTTAACTCTTCAGCCAACTTATGCGCAAATCCTTTTCCTTACGCATACTCTATATGTATAAGCCTTGCTGATATTAACGTCTCATAATTACTAATACTTCATGAGCAGCATTAAGTTTAACAATTTTATTTTAGTAATAAACGTACTATAAGTATATGCATAATTGCACTCTCTTGGTATCTCAAGGTTCTAGGTTTACCTTTAGATGAATAACTTATTGTGAAACGCTACATAAAACTGATTCGTAACGTTTTAGTTAAGGAGATTTGCAACATTTTTGGTTGTAAATCCTCTTTCTTGTCTCTTTTTCTCCTCGTGCCTTTTCGTTGTTCCCTTTACTTGTGTGTTTTATTGCTTTCTTTTCCGGTATTCCTTGCAAGCTTTACTTTGACCTTGATGCCTTCTCCCGAATCATCGACATAATTGACCATCCTTACTTCCCTCCCACAACTTTTCAACTCGTATTATGTATGGGCAAGTGTAGGAGGTTTGCTGCATATTCGCACTCTTAATCCTTCCATTTCACGCCTCCTCTAGGCCCAATAATATATAATAGATGCCAGGTAAAACAGTTAACCTCTCTTTTACTTTCCTTTTGTCATTTTTGAAACAGTAAGGGTTACGAAATATACATGCAACTATTTATTAAGCTATCCTAGGTAATGGAAAATATCGGTTGATTCAAGCGCGGATATCCAAAATATCTATGTAGTAAGTGATACCTTGCTAATTACAGTCAACAGATTACAGATATCGTGCGGGTTAGATTTCATTTACAGTAAGCAAATCCATGTACGGTAAAATTGAAGATTCATACTAACAGTACTAGCGAACAGTAAAATAGCAATGTTCAATTTGTATGATACCGTCATATGAAAACCATTCTATCATAATTGTAAGTGTGAAGAAAAGCGATTCTGTTTGTATAGATTAATCAATAGTAATTGCACGACGAGTTGAAGGGCTGTCAATAGTTCAGTTAATAGAACTTCATTTCTATACGTTAAATAGGATTAAGTTACAAATTCTTAAGCGCTATCTTTTTCTCTATTGATGAGGTAGTTGTAGTCTATTTCCTCTATTCTACTAGATCAAAACTTTCTTCTTTAGCAACTTTATGATCTACTCATACAGCCAGCTTATTTTTTACCCTATCGTCAATACTTATCCTAGCTCAGTAGGTCTAATCTTCCTATAGTATTTAAATTCCAAAATCCTTACAAATATTTAAAAGCAAATTATAGGAAAACAATTAATGCCGGTGTAACGACCCAAACTATACCCTTCGTGTAGAATATACCGTTTACTGTAATTTGATGAACAGCAACTTCAATCCCAGGATTTATTTGTACTTCTTATCCACTACTAGCAAACTAAATGCTTATTAAGTCTTCTAGTCGACAAACACTCAGACAACTTCTTTTTTAGTTGCTTTAGCTATATTTGCATAACAAATATTACTATTACCTTACTATCTAGCGGCTCTAACCGATATAATCAACGTGACGACTTAATTATTTTCTATGAACATCCTCGAAATAGCTTGCAATGTACAGTATAGATTTGGTATACCGTAACAAATATCGTTATCGCAACATTTGACACTTATCATAATAGCCACATTAGTATTTATTAGCAATCATTAATAACATATATATAGTTATCGGATCTAAAATGGTCAATGTACGAGTAAGTTAATGAAATATTATAATAAATAGTTTCCGGAAGAAAATACTGAGTCAGTTTTAGCTTTTCGTTGATCATATCAAAGGCAAGGAAAACATTCCGCCCTGCTTTCTTTGCTTATTGCCAATTAGT